AACTTTTTCATCCAAATATTCATTCCATAAAAAGCCTTGCCAATGCGATTTCAATCAATCTAAAAAAATTAAATATTCGATTCTTTTAAACTTAGCCGAAATCGGCCAACTTGTCATTAACCTAAATATCTTATCATTTAAATGCCCATTTATAACACCTTTTTCAAGGCTAAATCAAAAGAAATCTCGGGAGACAAAAATATATAATAATTTTTCAATTCTAAAACAATCCATTCCACTCCTCTAAGAAAAAAAAAACCTCCACAAATCTTTCAGCCAAAACAAACAAAGACACAAAAACACAAAAACACAAAGACACAGAGACAGAGAGACACAAAGACACAAAGACACAGAAACACAGAGACACAGAGAGCACCGAGACACCGAAACACAGAGACACAGAGACACAGAGACACAGAGACACAGAGACACAGAGACACAGAGACGCAGAGACGCAGAGACGCAGAGACGCAGAGACACAGAGACACAGAGACACAGAGACACAGAGACACAGAGACACAGAGACACAGAGACACAGAGACACAGAGACACAGAGACACAGAGACACAGAGACACAGAGACACAGAGACGCAGAGACACAGAGACACAGAGACACAGAGACACAGAGACACAGAGACACAGAGACAAACACAGACAGACACAAACACAGACAGACACAAACACAGACAGACACAAACACAGACAGACACAAACACAGACAGACACAAACACAGACAGACACAAACACAGACAAACACAAACACAGACAGACACAGACAAACAAACAGACAAACAAACAGACAAACAAAGAAACAGATACCAGAAACAAAGAGACCAACAAACAAAGAGAGACAGAGCAAGACACCGACAAAGAGACAGAGACAAAAAGAGACACACCTTCGGCGCGCAGCACACACAAACAAACAAACAAACAGACAAACAGACAAACAAACAGACAAACAGACAGAGACAAAGACAAAGACAAAAACAAACACCAGACACAGACACAAACACAGACACAGACACACAGACACAGACACGCAGACACGCAGACACAGACACACAGACACACAGACAGACACACAGACAGACACACAGACACACAGACACACAGACACACAGACACACAGACACACAGACACACAGACACACAGACACACAGACACACAGACACACAGACACACAGACACACAGACAGACAGACAGACAGACAGACAGACAGACACAAACAGACAGACACAGAGACACAGAGACACAGAGACACAAAGACACAGAGACACAGAGACACAGAGACACAGAGACACAGACACAAACAGCCACAGACACAGACACAGACACAGACACAGACAGACACAGACAAAGACAGACACAGACACAGACAAACACAAACACAGACAGACACAGACAAAGAAACAGATACCAGAGACAGACAGACCAACAGACAAAGAAACAGATACCAGAGACAGACAGACCAACAGACAAAGAGAGACAGGGAAAGACACCGACACTTCGGCGCGCAGCGCGCCGGATTCTGATGTCGACATGCCACAGGCTTCGCCTGCGCACGTGCACGCGTCCGACTCCGAGCCCGAGAGCCGTGATGCAGACGGGTTGCAAGAACGCGCGTGTGAGCTCTTGGCTGCGCGTGCGCCAGTTGCACGCGGCGGCTGGCCGCTTGTCCCTTGGCGCCCTCGCCCTGTGGAGCGAGCCAGTGCAAAACGGTCGCTGTCCCGCTGTTTTCGCGGCCAGGAGGTGGTTGCAGGACTGTTTATCGCATCGCCAAATTCTCGGAAGATGGGCCAAGATTTCAGCCAAAATTGCTACGGGCAGGCAGATATATGCCCCGACTCTTTATCTGGAAGACACAACGGCTTCGTTCAACGGCTACGGATGGGAAAATATATACCTAGAATTTTGATGTAGAAAACACAATGACTTCGTTCAAAGTCCGGATCATTTTTCCGAAATATCCCGGATATTTCGATACTCGTACTCCAGACCATTTTTCCGAAATATTCCGGATATTTCGACGATGGTATTTCCCGAAATATTTGGAATATTTCGGGAAAATGGTTCTTAAAATATTCAGAATATTTTAAGAACATGGTGGGTGGCTGCGATTCCCGGATCGCTTTCCCGAAATATCTAGAATATTTCGGGAAATTGGTCCCTACAAAAAATGAAGTCACTATGTCTTCCGCACATATGCCGGGAAAGCCCGGACAAATTTGGGCGAATGATCCATAGGAATTATGAAGCGATTACATCTTCGTAGGGCAATCCAAACCAATTTTCCGAAATATCCGGGATTTTTCGGCAAAGCGGTCCGGGAAAACGCGCGCAAATGCGACGAGCAAGTTTCACGATTTCGTTTTATAGAGTAAATATATCCATTAAATCATTCAAATTACTAAAATAATAATAAATATTTAATCTTAAAATAATATCAATATCACAACAAATACACATAAAACAATTACAAATAACAAACTATCTACAACTAAAATTAATACTTAACGAGATCTAATAAACATATCTTAATATTGTCGCCAACGAATCTAAATACAACACACAACTTCTTATAATAACAATAGACAAATAATATTATATTCAAAAACGATTCGTTTAAAACGAATTTACGCTTGCACTTACATACCATCGGCTTACCATCCCCAATAGCCGACCCAAAATACGCCAATTCAAACCCCCTTATATTCCTACGGGAGTCGGTCTACCATCATAAACGATTCATGAGTAACACTTACCTATATATATTTTCACAACAACAAATTCCCATCATAAGTAGATGATCCAATAACAAGTAACAACCAACAAAAACAAAAATCACAAATAAAACAAAAAAAACAACATATCACACATACAGAACGAATAAAACCTAGCTCTATATTTTGTTTCCTAAATATAAATTCCTATCATCAGCTTTATCGACTCTATATCATATCTTCCAAACATATATCAACTATTACAACATAACTAGAAAAAAGAGAAAAACACAAAAAAAAACAAAGAAAGAGAAATAGAGAGAAATAATAAAAAAGAAAACGAAAGAATGAGACAATGAGAGAAAGAGAGAAAGAGAGAGAAAGAAAGAGAAAAAAAGAAAGAGAGAAAGAGAGAAAGAAAGAGAGAGAGAGCGAGAGAAAGAGAGAAAGAGAAAAAGAGAGAAAGAGAGAGAAAGAAATAAATAAAGAAAGAAAGAAAGAGAGAGAAAGAAAGAAGAAAAAAGGGAAAGCGAGAAAGAAAGAGGAAGAGAGAAAGAGAGAAAGAGAAAGAAATAAAGAAAGAAAGAAAGACATAAAGAAAGAAAAAACGAAAGAAAGAAGGAAAGAAGGAAAGAAAGAAAGAAAGAAAGAAAGAAACAACTAAAGAAAGAAAGAGAGAGAGAGAAAGAAAGAGAGAGAGAGAAAGAAAGAGAGAAAGAGAGAAAGAAAGAGAGAAAGAGAGAAAGAGAGAAAGAGAGAAAGAGAGAAAGAGAGAAAGAGAGAAAGAGAGAAAGAGAGAAAGAGAGAAAGAGAGAAAGAGAGAAAGAGAGAAAGAGAGAAAGAGAGAAAGAGAGAAAGAGAAAGAGAGAAAGAAAAAGCGAAAAAGAGAAAGAGAAAGAGAGAAAGAGAAAGAAAGAAAGACAGAAAGACAGAAAGACAGAAAGACAGAAAGACAGAAAGAAAGAAAGAAAGAAAGACAGAAAGACAGAAAGACAGACAGACAGAAAGACAGAAAGACAGAAAGAGAGAAAGAGAGAAAGAGAGAAAGAGAGAAAGAAAGAGAGAAAGAAAGAAAGAACGAACGAAAGAAAGAAAGAACGAAAGAAAGAAAGAGAGAGAGAGAGAGAGAGAGAGAGAGAGAAAGAAAGAAAGAGAGAAAGACAGAGAGAAAGAGAGAAAGAAAGAGAGAAAAAGAGAAAGAGAGAAAGAAAAAAAGAAAGAAAGAAATAAAGAAAGAAAGAAAGAAAGAAAGACAGAAAGAAAGACAGAAAGAAAAGAAAGAGAGAAAGAAAGAAAGAAAAAGAAAGAAAGAAAGAAACAAAGAAACAAAGACAGAAAGACAGAAAGACAGAAAGACAGAAAGACAGAAAGACAGAAAGACAGAAAGACAGAAAGACAGAAAGACAGAAAGACAGAAATAAAGAAAGAAAGAAAGAAAGAAAGAAAGAAAGAAAGAAAGACAGAAAGACAGAAAGACAGAAAGACAGAAAGACAGAAAGACAGAAAGACAGAAAGACAGAAAGACAGAAAGACAGAAAGACAGAAAGACAGAAAGACAGAAAGAAAGAAAGAAAGAAAGAAAGAAAGAAAGAAAGAAAGAAAGAAAGAAAGAAAGAAAGAAAGAAAGAAAGAAAGAAATAAAGAAATATAGAAATACAGAAAGACAGAAAGACAGAAAGACAGAAAGACAGAAAGACAGAAAGAAAGAAAGAAAGAAAGAAAGAAAGGAAGGAAGGAAGGAAGGAAGGAAGGAAGAACGAAAGAGATAAAGAAGGATATTTCTGCCCCGGCTCTGCCGAACTTTAGTGTCATTCAACCTTGAGAAAGAACACAAGACTTTAGACCACGTTTGCCTCCCAACCTAATTTTGTCGCATTGTCGCCTTCTCTGGCGGAGGTGCTCAGTGCACCTTAAGCGCACAGAGAAACCCCCGGAACGGCAGTTGCACGGAGCAACACGCTTGGGCTGCCAGAAGCAGTCACAAAGGCCAGACCTGTAACCGGGGTTTTGGCTTTCCAACATGCGCAAGGAGTGCTCACAAAAAGAAACACTTGGTGTGATCAGTTGGGGCATCCACTCTTCCCATGGTGTGCTCTGGGTGTTGGTTTTCATTGAAACGCGAAAGCCATGCTGAGCGAGAAGTGCCACTGGTTGCTCCGCTCTGATTGGCCAACTGCCATAATGGAGAACTGCTCACCCAGATCTTTCAGAGTGGCCAAGCCTCAGCCCGCACACCGTTTCCCCAAGTGGCATGCAACGCCCGGACTGGATTCCGAAGGTGTCGGTATGCGAGGCTTCTCTAGACTCTTGGGTGTCTCTCTGCTACTCTAAAATCGCATGCTGCCGACAGGCAGCCGGTTCTGTTGACCGCGCGAATACGTGCCATCTAATCACCTGAAAACATACGCCTGAACCGCCTGAACCTCTGACTCTGCACCCAGCGCAGGCGCTTGATCGTTGGCCCAACAAGACCGCGTGCCAAAGCCAAATGGCCGAGCCGTTGCCCCTTACATTGGGAAAAATGGAGGCCACGGACTCAGGATCTTTCCAGATCTCAGGAAAATGGCCTCGGGCAAGCAACAAGAACCTTGCCTCATGCCTTGGTGCTTTCTGCAGAAGCCATCACAGCCGCCCGCTGGGCCATGTTGACAATCTCACAAAGATTGCATTTGGATGTTGTCCCAAAACATGCAACCCCTGAAAAACCGAAATCCCCCACAATCATTTCTTTCTGGCTTCATCAGCACAACCAAGCTTGCGCAATACAGACCGGACCTGCACGTCAGTCAGCCCTGTCATCTTGCTGCGCTCGGTGTCCTTAGCCATTGCGCAGGGGAAAGGGGAAGAGGTGAGTTGCCGCACTGGTTGAACAAAAGCAGGCATGGTAATCCACAAGACTCACCATGGCCCTAGAATTCCAGCGGTTGCTTCCTCAATTCCTTTCAGTAAAGCCCTCTAAACACGTTCGGAAAAGGGCAGATGCTTTGGGAGGGGGGGGGTCCATTTTCAGATTTTGAGGGAAGGCAGCCTTCCTTCCCATTGCTCCTGAAAATTGACAAAAGAGTGACTGTAAAAATGTGTATAATCGTTGAGGCCAAATGGGGCTGTTCCCCCGACCCCAGTGCAGCCCCAGTCATAATGCGAAGTCAGAGACTTCAAGGTTCATCCGCCTCGGCGCTTGGCGCCCCGCTTCAACTCCGAGGCCAGCTGGTCCTTCTCCGCGGCGGCCTTCCGCGCCGCCGCCGCCTGCTCTACCAGCTTCTGCTGGGCAGCCTGGCGCGAGAAACACACATATGGGGGAAGGGGGAGGCTTCAATTTCAAGCTTTATTCCAGTTGTGTTGAACCCAGCCATGGAGCGGCTTGGTCGGATAAACTTTTGGCTACAACCAAGTGGGGGCAAAAGGCCGAGCAAATATGGGAGCCGCAAAGGCTAATTACTCTGGCTCTGAAATCAAGGGACATAACTGCATGCCTTTGCCTGGTTGGGTACGTGCCCCAAATACATGTCCCTCACAAGAAACACAGATCATTTGTGTGGAGGTGTCTCGATATGTAGAATTGTCCGGGAAACTACAGGGCCATTGGCCCATAGAACTTCCAATAACCATTGGCAAGGCAAGCTCAAGACCTGTCGTTCATGGCACCAGCTCGGTGCACAATGGAGTTTTGCATTCCTTCGTTCCACAACTCTAGACCAAGCGCAAGCCCCAACTGACCAGCGTGGGCTCTCTTCCAGAGAGGGGTCATTGATAACCTGTGAAGCCCAGGCCATCGTTCTGGGATCGAAACCTTTCGCGCAAGCACGCAGCCGTCGATTTTCTTGGGACCTGACCATAAACGACCCAAAAGCACTTCAAAGACCCGCCTGCGCTTCCTCCACCGCCTTCTTGGCGGCTTCGGCCTTGGCCGCCAGGTCCATGGCCTGCTTCTGCGTCAGCTCCCTGAACCGGTGTGCCGGGCACCGGCTCGAATTGGGGGTTAAAGGGGTTGAAGAGGATTCATTTATCCATTTTGGGCACTGGACTAAGCGCTGCAAAGGGAAGGTTGATCCCGTAGCCCGTCTTCATTTCTCCAAAAGTAGGGCCCACCTTCATAGAGATTTACCCCATTCCCTAAATAGAGATTAAACGTATTTCGTGTCGAAAACTACTTCAAATTAAACGGCGCTTTCGGGTTGTGGCAAGTCCCCGCCTCATCTCGGAGAGTGCCTGGAGCAGGATAACATGTGGCGTTTGTATAGGGAGGACTTTTCTGGAAACGATCCTCCCGTTCTGCGACACACGAGCAGTGCCGTGTAACTTGGTGTTTAACGACCTCTCCAGGGTGCACAACTTGCTTTGTACCATCTTGTTCTGGTCAGAAGCATCGCAATACCCTTGGCAGAACCCTCTCCGAAAGATTTGCATGTTTCGTGTAAACAACAATCGCTTTCAAGGAGTTTAAGGTTGGTTTAAACAAGCTGTCTATCCCGTGACAAAATTCTCAATCATTCTCGATCAAATTCAGACACACACACACACACACACACTCACACACACACACACAACACAAATACAAATGCAATACGTATGCAGTTATGCAATGCACACATACGTTTGGAGAGGCTCAGAATTGTTGAAGCAATCTTCGTGTTGAATGGTGTCTAAGTTGTTCAAAACAGAACCCCTTGTGATGGTGCCAAAAAAATAAACAGTGATCCCTATCAATCTTATTACCCTACTTTCAATATCTTCCCCCCCCCCCCTGCCCCCCGCCCAGTTTGCCACTCCGCTTAACTATGGTTGGGCAAACCATGTCTCAAACCTAATTTAACAGATAAGCGGCTTGACACAACCTCTTCTTTGCTCCCTTTATCTGCTCTCTAAGCACACATTGTCACACCAAATTCACCACCCTTTTCCCAAAGCCACCCTTCTCGGCGGAAGCGGAACCCTGATCTAAGCCTAAACCCCCCAAACGAAGCCACTTTCGAAGCCAACAAACACGAGCAACACAAATTCAATCAGAACCGCCTCCTACACCTCCCGACTTGACTCGTCACGCGTCACGCGTCACGTGTCTCGCGTCTCGCGTCTCGCCTGGTGCTCCGCCACCTTGGCCTCCTCCGCCGCCTTCCGCGCCGAGAGTGCCTCCTCCAGGGCCTTGGCCTTGGCCACCTGACATCGGAACGGCGAACGGCAAGGACCAAGCGGCTCACTCAGCGCGACCGAACATCCCCCTGACCCCCCCGCCTCTGCAGCTTCCATGACCTCATGAGCTTGCTTCGCCTTGGCGTTCTCCTCCGCCACCTTCTGGTCTGCCTTCTTAACGGCCTGGCACGCGGTTGGCTGAGCTGGAGAAACAAACAATCCGACCAAAAACATGGGGTTCACAACTGACATTGACTTTCCCTTGCCATGATATCTTGCGTGTAGCGTCGCGCAAAACTGGAAACTCCCAACCCAGCTTTGGCTCGCACCTTTCCTGTTGGATTTCACTCACTCAAGTTGAAAGTGAAATAGATGTGATCAACTGGACATCACTGGTGGGAATTCCTGTTTTTAACAACCAGACCCATCCGGTCGCTTAAAGGAGGTTGTTGAGCCAGTCTTTTACCTGGGTCGGTTGGAAGCGTTCAGCCGAACGGTCAATATTTGGATCCCAAGTTTGGTCGCCCAGGCTATGGCCAGCTTCTCTTCAGGTGTCCCTTGGATTTGGAGGAGGTTTAGCAACGCAGAAATGGAGCAAACGCTATACGCTATTGGCGTGCCTTTTGTGGGAGCTTTCGTGTTGGCTGGATTCAAAGTCAAACCAAAAGGATACAAACCATTTTGGGGACCCCTAGCCATTTCCGAGTCAGCGGCAGGTCCCGGCCTCATCAGCGGCCTTCATGGCTTTCTCCTTCGCCTCTTCTGCTGCCTTCCTCGGCAAATTGAAACTTCCCGCTTCCCCGCAGAGTCTACCTCCAGAAGCTCTCAGTTGCCGGATTGAACAGACTGACTCAGCTCTGGTGCCAGGAAACCTCCTATCAGCACATTGAAAACCAGCCAACATGAACAATGAAAAACATGAGGCGCAGAAAAGTGAAACCATCTACGTCATAGAACCCAATTGGAAACATGATAATGTTAAAAAAAACAATGGCAAACATTGAATACAAGCAACCAAACAAACAAACAAACAAACAAACAAACAAACAAACAAACAAACAAACAAACAAACAAACAAACAAACAAACAAACAAACAACCAAACAAACAAACAAACAAACGAAGACACTCAAACAGAGCCACCTCTTGGAAAGCACGTTTGAACAGGGTTCCTCGAAAAATGGACCAAGTCCCACCTTCTCTACAAAGGATCTATTTCCTAGCTGGAAACACATGAGGCACCGAGCTGGGCTTTGGGCCCCGCGCTTGATGGCGGCGGCCTCGGAGAGGGCGTTGCTCTTCTCCGTGTGGGCGCTCTCCGCGGCCTTCTTGGCCTTCGAGGCCTCCTGGGCTTCCTTGGCCGCCTGAACACCAAAAGCGCTCGCGCAAGATCGATCCCTAGCCCGAAAGGAACCAACCCGGAGCCTCAAGGGTTTTCGCTCGTGCGAATTGGGGACAGTTTGCCCAGAAGGACCACCCGGAGTTCGCAATGAAGCAATTGACTGAAAGGCGGAGGGTTCACCTTACTTGGAGGTTCGGCTAGCAGGTTTTCTTGACTCCAAGAGAATTTGCGTAATCATGTGAAGGTTTCTGCCCACCACGTTAAAACCAAGCCGCCAATTTCAGCATGCCTCAAGGGGAACATCTGCGGTCCCGCGTTGGAGGTGGAGGGCAGGTGAAGTTGCAATTTACTGGGCCTGCCTGGCGAGTCAACACGTGCAAGCTCAGGGGGAAGGAAGTGGGGGGAGCGGCTCCCGCAAGATCCACTCGGAACCACCCAAATCGTCACGCATAGATGCGGTTTCAATTGTTCGATTATTCTAGACTTATACCCTGGCTGATTGCCTGAAATGGGGAACTCCTGGAAGGGACAAGCAACCAGACCAAAGGCTCAAGCAGCGCGCCTGCTCTTCGGCAGCCTTTCGAGCCTCCTCTGCCTTGTTAATGGCGGCAACCTTCTCGGCCTAATGCGGACGGGCGAAGCCTTGACTGCCCCTTTTCGGCTGATTCTTGGGGACAAACCTGTAAACGGAAAATGGCGAGCTCCATGTGCCAAGGTGCAACTTGCTTGGGTTGGAAACAACCAGCTTCCCTGAGGTTGGTTCTGGTCATTTGATCCTCCAAACATTGTGAACGCACCAATGAAACCTGACTTCAAAAGGCCCTGTTCGTCTTAAAGTGGCCTTGCCTAAAATCACGACGCCCCTTTTTGTTGTCCCAAGTGAGTTTTCAATCCCGATGGGCCCTACGGAACCGTTGCCACGACTTGGAGCCATGGGTTTTTTGGCATGGGTTGCCACCTTCGAATGTCTCAATCCTGGAAGCCAAGGAAGAAATGAGAGAATCGCCCAAAACTGCCAATGAGTTTCTTTAGGCCCTACCATAAGACCCACTAAGACCAATGAGGGTTTTGGGCGCCCAAAGGTAGATATCGTCTGGATTTCACGACTCCCCCCTTCCGCCCACTAGCTCCGGAAATCGAAGGCCTCCGCCTTCTTCTTGGCCGCGTCGGCCTCCTGCAGCGCCTTCTGCCGCTCCGCGTCCGCCTGGCGGTGAGACCAGATATCATGACAGCTTGCGCTCAATCTGGTCTTTGACCTCATGGCCTGATGTGGCCTTTTTCCCAAACTCATCACCACTAGATTTTGGAACAGCACAATGGCCACCATACTCGGCAATCTTTCTCAGCTGGTTTGTACAATTGTGTTCTTGGTTTGGTCTCGTCTTACTTGCCAGGCTTGCCCAAAATGACCTCCCAAGGGTCCCAAATTTTTGGGGGTCACCTGCAAATCTGCAAATGCCGTGCCGTTAACCAAGTGACCCCCGATTTTTTTGAGCAATTGTCTGACTATTATTGAGGCTCTTTTTTGGGGCGAGGGGGGGGGCGGGGCGGGTGGAATTTTGGGGCTCACCAGGGTCTAAGTTGAAGCGGAAGCCCTTGAAGCAGTCTTTGCAATTTTGTGCTTAGATTGTACATTTGTTGGGGCAAACTTAGGGTCTATTTCACCTTCTTGGTCAATGTTCAACCCTAGGACTCAATGTTCCGCTTGTTGGATTTGGTTGGTATTTGCTAACACTATGGATGAAGCCCAATTACAAAGTACATGCTGTCAATCCGCAGTATGGCTATGGTTTGTACACGTCCCCATGTCGATGATGTCCAACAAAGAGTCCCAACTGAGATTCATTTCCACATATGAGCACTCACATGGGTTTGTGTCTTTTAGGGGGACCCTACATACGGTGGTTCTCCTTCCCGCTTCGCATTGAGCTGGAACTAGGTACCCCAAACCGCCTGGTCCGCTCGGGCGTGAGCTTGAGCTGCCCTCTGCGCCTCTGTCTGGACCTGGCAAAAAGCTCCGTGCCCCAAATCCCCCTTGGTGGGCGAGGGTACCCTTTTCGGATCCCGAGGCTGAAGTCACCGCACAAGGGGGGTCTTGGAACACCTGGCACAGGAGTTTAATAACCAACCCCGAACTCAGATTAAACGGGAGAAGGGATATGGTTCCTGCGCCCAGTTTTGTTTGTGGATCATTTGACCATAAGTCAAGGGATGGTGCCTTTTGGCGAGTTGCTTGAAGCGATGAGAACGGGTTCTGTATCGAAAAACCAGTTGGCCCCCCTTTTAAGCAAATTAAACTCACTCCCGAACTATCTACAAAAGGGGATCAACAAGTTGCTGGTGGCAGACTCGTTTGGGGAATTTCTCTCTTCAACGGTTTTAAGGGGTCATTGGATTCCCCCTTCAGGATTGCACGAAAAGGTCATTTGAATGGAACTGTTGATCTGCAATTTCCCCAACCTTATTCTGTTCATCCACCTGCTCTTACCAGAGTTGATTGCCTCCAAAGATAGGCTTTCTGGACTTTCCCCTTCACCCTTGAACATCACCCCATCCAAGGAAGCTCACTTCAGATTAGCAACCACATAGGGGCTGCCAACAAGCACCAAACACGGCATATGGGTATGATTTGACATCGTCACCCTTTAATGGATATCAATCATTTACAAGAAGATTTCTGTCCAACAATCATCTTGAAGGAGCTCCTTTTCTGGGCTAGCTATACACCTGACATGGTCATGGTAAAACTATGGGATTGCCCCGCGTGTCCTCGTTACATGTGGTTACACGGTTCACCCGGAAATGTGGCACCAACAATGCCATGCTTCCATCAGCATGCGAAGGAGTCGTCCTTCATTTGTCTGCGTCAGCATGCGAAGGAGTCGCCCTTCCATTTGGAGGAAAACATTCTAATTCTGGTGGCGCAAAGGAACCTATGCACCTCTTCTCCCTTGTTACGTGGTTTCCTCTATACGAGACCCTGGGCATGTCAGGGGCCTCTGCAGGCCGTCGAAAACGGACGGAACTTCGCGCTTCGCCTTGGCGTCGGCGGCGCGGCGTAGGTCTTCCGCCTCCTTGGTGAGGCGCTTCCTCTCCTCGGCCGCGTCCTGGAAAAGGTCGCGCGGCGGAGTCGGCTCCGAGTGGCTCGTTGGGCAACCGGAAAACCGAAGCCACGAAAATCCCAGAGCCCTACGCTTACGCACTGAACAACTGCTGCCTTGGTTGTGGCATGTTCCTCCCAAACGGACGATTGGCTTGTCAGCTCATGGCTTGCCCCCACAATGCGTGCACCCGTTGGCCATCTCACGGGGAGTTGGGACAGGGCACGTGACGAAGTGACAAAATGAAGCTCTGACTCTCCTGCTGATGTTTAAAAAACTGCCAACCAATCCACCGCCCGCTGAGGTTTGCGGCCAGATTTTGTAGTGGAAACCTGGTAGGATCCTTCAAACGGGAAACAGTCCCAATTCATCTGACAAGGTTCATGGGGGGTCGCCATATCAATCTTGCTGGTGCAGCGCTAAGTTGACTCGCACTGTTTCTTTGATTCCGCTGCAGCCCACAGAACGCTCCTTCCGCAAGGTAAAACAAACCTTGCGACTTACAGTTGCCAAAATGCTGAAACCAGCCTTTAAGGAAATCAAAAACTAGAACCCCACCCGACCCCCACCTGACCCGCCACCCACTCCCTGCATGCCCAGCTTGTTAACAGCTGACCGGGTTGGACAAAATGGAAAACCGTTAGAACCAAAACATAGAAAAAAGCTGGGCAAACCGTTCTTCTCAATTCCGACTCAGTCGACTCCGCCTGCTTGGCCTTCTCCGCCTCCTTGAGCGCGTACTTGGTCTCGGCCTTGGCCTGCACCACCTGGCCCCGAACACTCGGGGTGTGACCGAACACCAAGTTGAAGAACCAGAAGGACACCTCGATTGACGCTGAGAACAAAAAACGGGGGACTTGGTGCTGGGGGAACCGACTGGAACCCTTGTGATGGAACGAACGCCTTCGGTCCGAATACACACCGGAAGTCAGGAATCTCCAAGCAAAGGGGTTTCATGTGGATGAAATCTGTCACAAGCCAAATGTCTTCCTGCGACTCTGAGAGATCGCGCCAGAAAACGAGCCTTCTCAGTGGTCTCCCAGATCTTTTGCTCATCCAACTGGAACTTCTTCTCGGCCTTCGCCTGGAACTCCTTCCTCAAGAGAACTTCGGAGCACATCGGAGCCCTACCAAAATCTCCTGCTCCGTTCTGTTGAGCAAATGGATCTGAATCTCTTCAGACCCCACAAACCGAGTTGGGACGCACAGCAGGATCTGTGAATAGCAGGATGAGTGAAGAGGCGGTGAAGATAATAGTAAATCGACCTGAGTTGCCAAAATAGACCAAGGAGTAACCCAAGGATGAAAAGGGCTCTCCAGTGAGAATTCTGCAATGTTGAACCCCTGGTCCAGTGGCGAATTGTTAGATCTCGCAAAACAGCTATTGGCTGGCTGCTCTGGAGCCACGGAAGCCCGACATGTGTACCGAAATGGACGTCCCATCGGTCATGACTGTTTTGTTATGATGGAAACGGGATGCTCCAATGAATCACAGACCCTGTTGTGTGGTTGTGAAAGGGAAACACAAAGAACACCATTTTAGAGGTCCCCTCGTTTTAGAGACAAATAATCGTATCCCAAGAATGTGTGTGTGTGTGTGTGTGTCTTGAGATTTGTTGGTTGTCGAAGGGACGGTTTCCCATTTCATTGAAAGATCAAGCAAGTTCCGCCTCAGAACCGAAAGGATATCCATAATGCCACAACCAAAGGTGTCAATGCTATGGGTGTGTTGCAAAATAGGGGACAAGTAGGGGACCCTTCAAAGGGTTGAATTTAAACACCATGCGACATGGGGGCTGCCACAGGGCACCCATGCCAAAAACATGTGGACATCCTTTATATGGGAGTTTGTTGGCCCTGCAAAAGCCTTATTTGATTGCCAGGATTCGACTTCTGCTTGATGAGCTTCTTCTCTTGGTGGACTTCCTGTGACGCAGCCACCCTCTTCAAGGCAAATCTGGCCCCAGTTTCAGACTTCGATAATTTTTACGGTTAAATCCCTTGGCTCTCTGCCAACGTTTGGAATGGTCCTCCTAATCCTTCTTGTAAAGGGCGAACGACCATTGACAGGCCACGTTGGGGCTTGACACGTAGGAGCCTTCCGGAAAAAAAAAAACGTGAAAAAGTACGCCAACGCAAACATACGAGTGTCCACCCCTTATCTTGCTTGTTCTGAATGTGGATTCTTTCAAATGGGCAACAGCTTGAAGGACATGATTGGAAGATCCCCTTGGCTTCAGGAACCATTTTTCCACTCAGAAAACCCTCGTGGTTTCCCAGCAAGTCAATTTGAGGGGGAACCAGGCCAGCCCCGCCTTCAAGTCGCTGGACAGCTTGCCGATGTGCGAGTCCTTGCCTCGAAAGAACTGCGCCGCCCTAAAAGTCTCCGCCGCAAAAGGAAAGGCCCCAGATCCGCGTTTAGAGGCCACCGGCAAGTCGTCCGGCAGCCAGCAGTTGTAAGTCGGCCCCAAACTGGTCCAATGAAATCTGTTCATTGATTTCTTGATCCACTGCTTGGACGTCCAAGAAATTCAAGGCACATGCCAAGTCCTTCAGGTGAACCCGCCCTCCACCACCCCCTCCCCCAACGGCCCCCGCTCCATGCGGGGCCCGGCCACCGCAAAGGCTCGAGGGCTCGAAGGCTCGGCCCCGCGCTCTGCAGGGAGGCCTCGAGCTCCTGCAGCTCCCGCGCCAGCTGGTCGTTCTCCGAGGTGGACACCTCCATGCGTGGGGCTCTGGGAGGTTCTGAGGGATCAAAGAACGTGGCAAAAAACGGCCGCACGAAAAAACACGAACGACCGCAAGGGTCTGGGGGAAAAAAGAAAAAGAAAAACGGAGCCACTGGGCCGCAGCCTTTTTTGAGAGTGTCAATGGACGGGGTCCGAAGCCTCCAGCTGCTGCGACAGCTTCTTCTCCTGCGATTTGGTTGTGACAAAACAGCCCAAAAAATGAAACCCGCCACCCAGGGTGTTCTAGGACATGCCCAACAAACCACCCAGGAGAGGAGTTTCACAACGCCAGGCTAGAAGTCCGCGATCCGGTCAGCGCCCATTTTGTTCAATCCCAAGATGTGCTTGTTTCATCGAGACAGAAAGGGAAACTCGGGTTCTGGACATGCAGCCTCACTTGGCGCTTCGAGAGTGCGCCACATAGTGGGCGAGCATCAAGGTGCAACTGGTTTTCTCCATGAAGGAGGTGGACTTTGGCAGCTTATGGAGAAACACTAGTCCCCACGGTTGTCAGGGGCAAGGTGTGTCAACCCTTGACTAAAGCTTGTATCTTCAATGGCGGAATCCACGACGCCCCTATTCCTTATGGGGACTCTTGACAGAAAACCGCCGTTTGGCCCCCAACTTGTCTGCCGAGCCGCATTCTCCGCCACGACCTCCAGCTGGCCTACAGGCGGTCAAAACCTCGAGCCTTTACAGCAATCGCACCTCGGGGGTTCCCTGGGCTCACGAGCAATCTGACCATCTGAAGCTGCCAGGGCCGAACCGACACGATCCAACCGGTTGCCCGAACTATGCTGAAACAACCCACTTGCCTCATGTGGGCATACCAAAACATCCAATGGTCCATGAGGGGGGAATGATCCAGCTGGTCCAGGCTCGGGGAGAGAGGCACAAAGGAAGGATGTCAAGCCCACCAAAGAACTAACCCCAGTTGATATAACCGGCTTACCAGCCTCCCACAAGCCATACACACCCCCACCCCACTTCCCCACCAGACCAACATGCTGCCGATTTCGAAGCGGCTCGCGCACTGGTCACTGGCTCTCGGTCTTGGCGCCACGCCGATGCGGTCCAGGAGCTGCTTGTTCTCCGTCTCCAGCTGCGTCATGCCCTTCTCCAGGTCCTGGCACAGCCACAGCAACAGCCACGGAACATACGGGGTCGATCGGAGTCGAAGTGACCCGCAAGTGGAGGCCAAGCCTTCTAGCGAAGATCTAATTCTGGAGGGTCAAAGGTTTTCAGCAAATCAAAGAGAGCAGCCAAGACACGGTAGGCAAGGACCTTCACGGCAACCTGTGGGTCGTGAGGGGAACTAAGCCCATTTTCTCTCCGGCCTTGCTCTTCTGAGCAAACTTCTCCATCATGTTCTTGTAGTTCCTCTCACGTCCTGCCCAATGCGTGAGTTGACCGCGCTTCCCGACCAAAAGTGTGCCGGCGCCCTGGCCCTCATAACGGTCCTGGTATGGCAGAACCTCCCAAAAACCAGAAGGGGACAACAAGTGCTTCAACAAACTAGAGACGTGATTCTTTTCCTGCACTCCTTCCGCACTTGAATCATAAAGAAAGCTTTACGCAACTTTCTTGCAGGACCTTCCACAACTACAATACCTGATGTAGCTTGTGTCGCTGAGGCCAGAAACACAATCTCTGCGTCCCACTTACCACAAGTGGGAAACAGCTTTGCCAAGACGAAACGCCAAAATGCGCACCTTCGGGCCATGGCTCCCGTAGCGGGCCGCCCGTCCTGCAGCCACCTCGGCGGCCTGCTTCAGCAGCTCGGTCTCCTTCTTCAGGCGGTCGCCTTTGAGGGCAGGGAATGTGGGAAGGAACCGTTTTGGGGATTCCCGAAGAAAGGACATAGGAAATGGATGAATTATGCGGGGTCATTCCTTCATTTCGTGAGCACCAGAGAGTTCTTTAGGGTCCCGAGGAAAACTCATAGCTAAGGGGTACTCCTGCATTACACCAGATGACCTTCACCCTGACCGCATCGCCAAACAAGCACACCTTGAGCACACCAAACAGCACCCTCACCAGCACTCACAGCAGCACCCTGACTGCATCGCAAAACCACCACAGCACCTTCAGACCCACTGCAGCACCAACCAGCCTGCGCTGTTTTAGAAGCAATCCCTTATCTTTCAGCTGGGGGAACACATGTCGTTTTGGCCTGGGCTTCTACAGCCCAAACTAGCAACTTCAACAAAAACCGTACTCACAAAATTGGGCTAGGAAACGGCAGCAACTGAGAGAAGAGACTGTCCGCACAACGTGTCCGAAAATCGCAATCTGCTTGGTTGGTGGAAGAAAGAATTTGAAAGGACGTACCCCATTTGTTGGGTCCCCAACCTTTGGACAGTCCCAAATGGTTGGATTTGTTCAAATTACAATGGCTATATTGTTATTGTATAAGTAAGCCTTAGTTTCTTGATACTGGTGGTTGCCTTGAAAAAGAGTGATGATTGGCTACTGAGATGGAATGCCCATGAACAACTAGTTGATTTATCCTGGCTTGACAGTGTTGGTTGGTTGTTCATGATGGTTGATTCCTGGCTGGTGGTTTTCACCAGCATCCCAGCACATATATAAGTCGTTTCAGTTCCAATCTATCCCGAAATGCGTTGATGCACAATACATACAGTGGTTGGACGAAATCCTGGACCAGTCACTAGATGGTTTGAACAGGTCGCCTAGACTATTGACTATTTGATGGTGACTAATCCGCCGACATTGCTCGGCGTGTCGGATACTTACTAGAGGATAGAGGATAACCCCCCCCCTAACCCCCCCCCGCCCGACGTCTATTACGTAGGTTTTTGGGGGGGGGGGGTCCCCCACGTACCGCGCGGCAATTTGATGACGTTCCACTAAACGTAGTCTTCGGGGAGCCGGTGTCGCAAAACAGGGGTCCCAGGCTCGATTCCCCCTGCCGGCTTTTTTGCTGGCTTGGGCTTCCTGCATCCTTTTGCCGAAAATCTGGAAAAACTCAATGTTTTTGGACGTCCTCTTTGCGAAAACGCTGGAAAAACCGTGTTTTTTTTGCGGGAAATACATACATACATGCATGAATGCATGCATGTCATACATACATTACACACAAACATACATACATACATACATGCATGCATACATACATACATACATACATGCATACATGCATTACATACATACCTACCTACCTACCGACATACATACATACATACATACATACATACATACATACATACATACATACATACATACATACATACATACATACATACATACATACATACATTACATACATACATACATACATACATACATTACATACATACATTACATACATACATACATACATACATACATACATACATACATACATACATACATACATACATACATACATACATACATACATACATACATACATACATACATACATACATACATACATACATACATACATACATACATACATACATACATACATACATACATACATACATACATACATACATACATACATACATACATACATACATACATACATACATACATACATACATACATACATACATACATACATACATACATACATACATACATACATACATACATACATACATACATACATACATACATACATACATACATACATACATACATACATACATACATACATACATACATACATACATACATACATACATACATACATTACATTACATTACATTACATTACATACATACATTACATTACATTACATTACATTACATTACATTACATTACATTACATTACATTACATTACATTACATTACATTACATACATTACATTACATTACATTACATTACATTACATTACATTACATTACATTACATTACATTACATTACATTACATTACATTACATTACATTACATACATTACATTACATTACATTACATACATACATACATACATACATACATACATACATTACATTACATACATACATACATACATACATACATACATACATACATACATACATACATTATACATACATACATACATACATACATACATACATACATTACATACATACATACATTACATTACATTACATTACACATTACATTACATTACATTACATTACATTACATTACATTACATTACATTACATTACATTACATTACATTACATTACATTACATTACATTACATTACATTACATTACATTACATTACATTACATTACATTACATTACATTACATTACATTACATTACATACATTACATTACATTACATTACATTACATTACATTACATTACATTACATTACATTACATTACATTACATTACATTACATTACATTACATTACATTACATTACATTACATACATTACATTACATTACATTACATTACATTACATTACATTACATTACATTACATTACATTACATTACATTACATTACATTACATTACATTTACATTACATTTACATTACATTTACATTACATTTACATTACATTTACATTACATTTACATTACATTACATTACATTACATTACATTACATTACATTACATTACATTACATTACATTACATTACATTACATTACATTACATTTGCATTACATTTGCATTACATACATACATACATTACATACATTACATTACATACATACATACATACATACATACATACATACATACATTACATACATACATTACATTACATACATACATACATACATACATACATACATACATACATACATACATACATACATACATACATACATACATACATACATACATACATACATACATACATACATACATACATACATACATACATACATACATACATTACATACATACATACATACATACATACATACATACATACATACATACATACATACATACATACATACATACATACATACATACATACATACATACATACATACATACATACATACATACATACATACATACATACATACATACATACATACATACATACATACATACATACATACATACATACATACATACATACATACATACATACATACATACATACATACATACATACATACATACATACACATACATACATACATACATACATACATACATACATACATACATACATACATACATACATACATACATACATACATACATACATACATACATACATACATACATACATACATACATACATACATACATACATACATACATACATACATACATACATACATACATACATACATACATACATACATACATACATACATACATACATACATACATACATACATACATACATACATACATACATACATACATACATACATACATACATACATACATACATTACATACATACATACATACATACATACATACATACATACATACATACATACATACATACATACATACATACATACATACATACATACATACATACATACATACATACATACATACATACATACATACATACATACATACATACATACATACATACATACATACATACATACATACATACATACATACATACATACATACATACATACATACATACATACATACATACATACATACATACATACATACATACATACATACATACATACATACATACATACATACATACATACATACATACATACATACATACACATACATACACATACATACATACATACATACACATACATACACATACATACATACATACATACATACATACATACATACATACATACATACATACATACATACATACATACATACATACATACATACATACATACATACATACATACATACATACATACATACATTACATTACATTACATTACATTACATTACATTACATTACATACATTACATTACATTACATTACATTACATTACATTACATTACATTACATTACATTACATTACATTACATTACATTACATTACATTACATTACATTACATTACATTACATTACATTACATTACATTACATTACATTACATTACATTACATTACATTACATTACATTACATTACATTACATTACATTACATTACATTACATTACATTACATTACATTACATTACATTACATTACATTACATTACATTACATTACATTACATACATACATACATACATTACATACATACATACATTACATACATACACATTACATTACATTACATTACATTCACATTACATACATACATACATACATACATACATACATACATACATTACGTACATACATAATACATACATACATACATACATACATACATACATACATACATACATACATACATACATACATACATACATACATACATACATACATACATACATACATACATACATACATACATACATACATACATACATACATACATACATACATACATACATACATACATACATACATACATACATACATACATACATACATACATACATACATACATACATACATACATACATACATACATACATACATACATACATACATACATACATACATACATACATACATACATACATACATACATACATACATACATACATACATACATACATACATACATACACATTACATTACATTACATTACATTACATTACATTACATTACATTACATTACATTACATTACATTACATTACATTACATTACATTACATTACATTACATTACATTACATTACATTACATTACATTACATTACATTACATTACATTACATTACATACATACATACATACATTACATACATACATACATTACATACATACATACATACATACATACATACATACATACATACATACATACATACATACATACGTACACTTACATACATACATACATACATACATACATACATACATACATACATACATACATACATACATACATACATACATACATACATACATACATACATACATACATGCATACATACATACTTATGTACATGCATGCATACATACGAGAGAGGGAGATTGGGAAGAGAGAGGCTTGGGGGGATGGGGAGGATGGGAGCAGAGGGAGGGAGAGCACACAAGGGAGACAAGGAAGAGAGGAAGAAGGAGAAAAGGGAGAGGACAATGTCGGCGGACTGAGCCGGAGGCTCTAAAGTATGGCGTAGCATCACAATGTGAGCAGTTTGGTGCCTTGTAGTCCTGAATCTATGCGGCTTCCACTTTTCTGGGGGCTGTTTCGACATCTGCAATCATGTCACCCTATGAACAGTGAGGTGCCCCTTTGCGGAACTGTACACTCGCAAGGCAGGCTACTAAATCTTGGCATCTGCAGTTGTAGGGCTTTCAATTGAATTGCACCCTTCGAAGGCAGACTCATCAATGTGTGTCACGAAATCCGGAAGCATCAAGCTTCTCAAGGAAACGCATTGGCTGAAGGCAAACGGTCCAATCTTCTTCAAAGAAGCTGGAAGAGTCATGCTGCTCAACGATGCGCATCCCATGAAAGCGTTCCCGCCAATCTCGGTGAGCGACTCCGAGATGGTCACGTCCGTTAGCGAACTGCACCCTTCGAAGGCAGACCATCTGATCTTCGTCACAGAATTGGGCATCCTTAGTCTTTGGAGAGAAGTGCACAGCTTGAAGCCAGATGATGGGATCTCTGGCACGGGCCCCAGAATGGTCAAGCTGGTCAACGAAGTGCACTGCTTAAAGGCACACGGCCCAAGCTTCTTGACAGAAGCTGGAATTGTTAAGCTCGTCAATGCAGTGCATCCCTCGAAGACAGAGGGTCCCATCTTCATCACAGACTCCGGAATCATCATGTCCGTCAACGAAGTGCACTGCGAGAAGGCGGACTCTCCGATCTCTGCCGCAGAGTTGGAAACGGTCAAGCTGTTCAATGAAGTGCACGCCTCGAAGGCCGAACGTGTGATCTTAGTTACTGAATCTGGGATGGTCAAGCTGGTCAACGAGATGCATCCTTTGAAGGCAGACTCTCCAATTTCTGTCACGGACATTGGAATTCTCAAAGTTCGCAGTAAATTGCACTGCTCAAAGGCAGACGCTCCAATGTGTTCCAGAGAACTTGGGAGCGTCAAGCTCCTCAACGAAGTGCACCCCATGAAGGAAGAGGTTCCAATCTTTCTCACTGAGTTTGGGAGTGTCAAGCTTGTCAACGTATTGCATCTCTCAAAGGCAGACTTCCCAATGCTTGTCACAGATCGTGGAATTGTTAAGCTTGCCAATGAGTTGCACATCTCGAAGGTAGACTCACCAATCTCGGTCAGCGACTCTGGCAGTGTCAAGTCTTTCAATCGAAAGTTCTCCCTGAAGGAAGCAAATCCAACCTTGATCACAGAATCTGGAATGGTCAAAGTCGTCAAGTCGCAGTTCTCAAAGGCTAAGTCGCCAATCTCTGTCACCGAGTCCGGGATGGCCAACCTCCCAACAGATCTGCAATTTCGAAAAGCTCTGGGATCAATGACACTTACATCCTCTGGGATGTGGATTGAAAACCTCACCCCACGTTCCGACAAAGAAAACTCCACCATGTTGCGATTCGAGACCTTGACAATGCGTTCAAGAAAGATGGCCTGCACGGAGCTCTCTGGTGCAAGCGAAGGCATGTCCATTCCATCCTCTTTGAGCTCCTGGTCATCCACAAAGATTTTCACCACCATCACCTGCTGCTCAAACCGGTCTTGCCAACGCGATCTGATCACATCTTGCTTGAACTTGCCAACTGTCGTGTCAGGCTCAACTTCAACCGTGAGAGCGTCTCCACCTGGCAGAAACAAGTGCTAAACAATGTGGAAATTCACAATATGGTACTGAATACCACAATTGCAGTACTACTGCAATTGTGGTATTATCTTAACAACATGATACCATACGGTATCATTTTGAGTGAGCTGTCCTTATCATTTTGACTCATGGCCGCAAGCTCGAAATTAGGCGGAAACCATTCAGCAACAAAAGCACGAACAACTCCTGAGCCATTCAACGTACCCGTGTCCGAACCCATCAGTTTTTGGTTGATAGGACCTTAAGACCTATATATAACCATCAAGCAACTGTTAGGTGTTTGTTAAATGGATCACCTATCTGCAGGTAATGGAAGGACCCAAGTAGCCAGGCACTCCACCCAACAACCATACCTTGTCTATGTTCAATTGTTCAAGTAAACTAATTAGCAAAGCCACCTCGGGTTGGTCGACTACTTCCCCAATTTGCGTATCAGGGTCTTCTTCAGTTGCTAGATGTTGCTTCAAGGTGAATACTTGAGCCATGAACAATACTTCTATCCTAATCCTCAATAGCATCAAGATATTGAAGATGACAATCCCATATCATTCCCAATCATCATGTTTTTCCATCGCGGGTTACTTCCAGTGACTTGGCAGAGTCGAGCCACTTGCCAGCTGCACTGGAACCCTCATAGGTGCCAAATCGCTTTGCGCACGGGCGAGCTGTCACGGATTGTGGTCCAGGAGGTTCTCCTCCTTGAGCATCAAACAGCGAAACGGAACACCTCAGTGATCTCGATGCCTGTAACTAGTTGGAACGGGAGTCTCATACTGGATTAGTTCATAATCCCCTTCAAGTCGGCTCTACCTGTCATTCCCACCCTCAACCATTGGGTGTTGGTCACTGATCAACGTAAAACATCTTGACCAGAATCTGCTTGGATCCGCAGGAAGGATGGAGCTTTGAGTGCAAAGCCAGTTTGGCCAATCAAGGTGCAATGTCTCAGTCCTACCTTCAATTCTTGTCTGGGGAAAACCAGAGAGTAAAATGCATATCCCCCTAGATTGGGTGCCTCAAAATTAGATCCTTCACTTGGTGGCTTGACATGCCTGAAACATTTGCGGGCCATGGATGGTAGGTCCTCAAGTCCACTTGCAGCACATTCCTTTTGTGAGTGACAAATAGGTCATTTTGTGAGTTCGAGGGAACGGCTTACCCTTACCCCACAGAATGTACTGTGTGAAGTCCACAGCAAGTGATCATGTCTCGTGAATCGGGGGTCAACCCAAAAATGAGCAAAATCATGTCATCTAGATATCCCATAAAAAATAGTCACCCCCCAAACCACCTCCCAACACTAAGGGAAGCACACCGATATCTTTCTTCTTCCAGGAAAAAACTCATGACATTCTTCGATGTGGTTCCCAGAATAGTGCTACCCAAACATCCATCAACAAGCTACGATGGATGATCTATTCAAGTAGGAAATCAACCATGGTTTGGGAGCATCACTTTGGGACATGCCCATTCTTGCCGAAGCCCCGCCCCGAAGTCCGAAAACCCGCTCCGCCTTCCGCCATCACCTCCCTCAGCTTCTTGTTGAGCTCCTGAGCATGCCACGCTCCGCTCGAAGGCACAACGAGAAAAGCCTGGAGGAATCTCAAAATCCGAAGCGAAGGGATGCCCAGCTGAAATGAGCTGGGAACCTCCCGGGCTTGTCCGGGGAAACCCATCGGAATCCCCATCTTTCCCGCCCTCGAGGTCCGTTTTGGCCGGATCAGTGAGCTATGTCAATGTCCAAGGCATCCGCGCTAGGCTCGATTTTCTCCGCTTGGTGTTCCGTTTGTTTTTCCCTGCTTTTTTCGGGATTTTTTCGGGGTGACCAAAAGTAGAGTCTCCACTGCAAAATAGAAGGGTTTGCGCAAAATGGGGTGCCTGCAAACTTTGCTCAGGGCTCTATGTCAATCTGCAGAGGAGAGCAAGAGGCAACCGAAGGTGAGAAGGCCGACCTGAGTTCGCCTGACCCATTTGGACACCTCGCGCCTCCTGCTTCTTCTGGGAGTCGGCCAGGTTCTCCTCCACTTTGCTTACCTGGCTGTCCACTCAGGTGCCGACCCGGTGGCTCACACAACTCTTGACATGTAAGGCAACACAAGAGAGCCTTTACCTGTTTTCACAGAGGTCAAAAGACATGCGGTTTGAGGCAAATCTGATTGTTCACTTTTCGGTTCCTTCATGTCGAAAGGTGAGGCAGGAATGTGTGGGTGGGGAGGTATTGCACTGATTTCACACTCTTTCTGGGCTCAAGTAAAGCGGGCCTTCTCCTTGAGTGCAGCATTCTCCTTGCGCGACTCCTTGAGATTGGTGAGCACCTGGCTAGGCCAATGGAAACAGAAATCCCTGCATCGTCACAAACGATGCAAATGGTACCCTGCGTTCATGAAACTGGATGAGCTACATCAAGGAGTGAACCTTTGCAATCCCAAGGATAAACCCATCCTCGCAAAGGATACACACAATTTCCAGGGTCCCTTGCGTGTGAGCCCCGACCAACACGTACTGTGGGAATGGGAAGCCTACGCGACGGCGTGGACCCCAAACTCCTTGCCCTCACCTTCGGTGGACTCGAAATCCCCAGGTCCCAGGTAAAAACTCTGAGCCTCAACCAATCGTTGGGTATTTTGGGGCCTTCCTCAATGCTCGTTTACTCGCCGGCCAAATCCCATGCCACTGCAAAAGTCATCAACTTTTGCTGGTTGAAAGGGAAAATTCAGAACACCCAAAAGGGTAAAAAGGCAGACGGCCAAAACTTTTAGCTAAGCCAAGCAACCATGAGCGAATAATTGCCAAAGCCAAGAAACCAGGCTTGGTTTCTTGGCACCTGACAAACAGTAGTCTGGCAATGTAATGTCAAGAACAGATCGATGGCAGCGGCTGCCCCAGACAACACGACCCTGCGCGCGCCTCGCCCGTCTCCGCCCTAGAGGAGGTGAGCCTCGGGAAGGCTTTGTTTTAAAGACGCGAGTTGGTGTACCAAATGTGTCAAACTCGGGACGACCCTTCTCGGGTCCGACCGAACTCATAGGCAAGCCCCTGCGCACCACAGCCGAGGCAAAACCACAAGAAAGAAGATAAGACCACCAAATGGCGCTTCCCAAAATAAGCAGAAACATGAATGGGGAATTCCAAAAACAAGGCTGGGCTGTTTAGCTTTTAGCTTCCTCAGCCACAAAACGGTTGACCGCTTTGGCACCCCACGCTTCTTGAACGCCGGTCAGCTCGGTTTTGAGCTTCGACTCCTGGCCGAAACCCGCAGAACTCCAATACCGCGAAGTAAACTGCTTGCCCAGAGACATAGCACAAAGGAAGTCACCGAGAAACTGCTTGAAAACCGCTTCGGTTCGTCCAAATCCCAAATCGGCACAGGCTTTCGGTCCTTCTTCTTCGATGCCTCGCGCTCTGCCTGGACGGAGCACACGTCTTCAGAGCTCCCCAAATGTTCACTTGAGAACAAGTATTGCACCCCTTAAAAGTGCAACTTACTGGCGACGTTCGATGAAACTGCCACTGTCGGAGGTGACAAGAAGGGAAATCAAGGGTGCCCGTCATTAAGCCCACCCAAGCATTGCCCCATTTGAGTTGGGATTTTTTCTCGACGGCCCGCGCACGGCTGAGTCATCGGACGATTTGAACTTCCGTCTTTTTGCAGAACCTTGTTCGTTTCAGAAGCTTCGTGAAGTCAAGGGAACTAATTAGATTTGGTTTCGGGCCGATTGCAGTCATTGCAGTCACCGCGCCACGCGTCACACGCCTGCATCTGCTTGTCCAACTCCCTGCGGCCGCTTTGGCCCAAGGTGCCCATCGACTCCCCAAACGGCGCTCCCGAGAGGGAAAACGGAGAGATTGGGCCGAGGGCTCGATCTACTCCTCCTCTGCGTTGTGCGAGAAACAACCCCAACAAAAACATCTACTGAAGCCCAGGAACACTCACCATTGGAGCTTTCCAAAAAGCCCATCCACTTAAGCCCAGAAACGATGACAGGAGTCTGCTCACATCACTGGCCCAAGGTGTCATTGTGAAACGCCCCTGTTTACAAAAGGGGCGAATCACATGCAACCGTGACACCCAAACACAAAGAAGTGAGCGTTCCTGAAGCAATGGATCATGGGATCCAACCGCACCCCATCCCTTGAACTGCGCCCCTTGCCCCTCTTTCCTCCAAAAAAGGCCTCAACAACTCGCTTCAGGGTCATATTTTTGGGAGCCGCATCTGTTTTGAGAAAATGCCCTTTGTAGTTTCAAAGGCAAACCCAAAGAACTGCAGCCTTTCTTCTGGGAAACCCCGATTTTAAGACATGGCTGTGGGTCAGAAATGGGTACCCAAAATGGAACCCTGGTAAATGGAACCAAGGACTAAAACCTGCGTTCCCCTGGTTAAATTTTGGCCCATACCCACATCTTCTTGTCTTGAAACCGAGGGCCGACATTGGCCTCACGGTGACGGCCAGCTCCTGCTTCTTCTCCTCCAGCTTCTGCAGCTCTTCCTGACTGCGTCCCGGCTACGGTAAGTAAAGAGGCAGCTGTCTTCCATCCAGAAGACACATCTGACCCCTGACTTGGAGGTGAAGCAGGTGGAAGAATTCGGAGGTAAAGGAGAAGTGTCCAGTTGGATGGGACAGGGAACCCAGGTTGCCCGCGTTCCTGATTCTGAGACATATCATGTCCAAACACGGTTGCCCCGATTGGTGAACCAAAGCAGAACAAAAGGTGTCCACAACCCCGGCCCAACACGAATCAGGGGCCTTTCAAGAGTGAGGGGTGATCCCTTCCCGGCAACGCTTCGGGCGACGGCTGCCCTGACGCCCCATGCTTCTTCAATCCTCCATTTGGCTGCCAACACAACACGGAGAAGTGCAAAACAACGCAAAACGCAAGGGCTGGCGGGTTTGGGTTGATACAGAGGGGCATGGAGACCAACCTCTAGGTTTGTCTTAAAGCTAGGGAATCCCCCTGTTCAAAGAAAACATATTTCATTTCCTTTTGAATCAACCCACTTGTCAAATTGACCTTGCCAAGGCGAAACGGGACATTTCGACCGAAGCTTTGGCGTCCTCCTTCTTCTTGGCCTCCTCCTCTGCCTCCTTCATCTGCTGCTCGTTGCGCTCCTGCTCTTCCCTGAGCAGCCAAAGCTTTCATGCCAATGTGAGGTGGCCACGTGGGCCCCCTTCAAAAGAAGGCCATGCCCGTGTCAAAAAACACAAACGCACAATGGGTACGAAAAGGTTTTATCACCCCAGGTTTGTTCCTTAGACAGGACCGTGGGTTCCTGAAAAGGAATCCTTCCAACGTGTTCGTTGTATACCTCCCCGCCCCCCCGCCCAAATCAAATCCCGAGCCAGCGAACTTGTCGGTTGACTATAAGACTGCGGAAAGGCAATCCTAATGGCTAGGCTTCCTTCAAACAGGTTGGCTTCAAAGGAAGCCGGATCATGGTTGTGACCATTTATTCCGCGTGCCCCAAGGAAAACGCATAACAAACACATGAGAACTGAACCCTCCCCCCATTTTTCGGCTCATGTCTTGTCACAACTCCCTTTTGTGAAAGTTGCATGTAAATCTTTTCCTTGAGATCTTTCAAGGGCACCTTGCCAATGTTGAATTTCTTGATCTACCACAACAACCACAAACAAACGAAACACAACAACCAACACCGCACAACCGCCACCACTACCACGACTACCACCACCACTGCTGCCACCACCACCACTACCACGACCACCACCACCACTGCTGCCACCACCATTACAACCGCCACCACCACCACCACCACCACAACAACAACGCCAGCAGCAGCAGCAGCAACCACCACCACCACCATCACCAGCAGCAGCAGCAACAACAAGAACAACAAGAACAACAACAACAAGAACAAGAACAAGAACAAGAACAAGAACAAGAACAAGAACAACAACAACAACAAGAACAACAACAACAACAACAACAACAACAACAACAACAACAACAACAACAACAACAACAACAACAACAACAACAACAACAACAACAACAACAACATCCACAACAACAGCAGCAGCAGCATCATCAACAACAACAACAACAACAACAGCAACAGCAACAGCAACAGCAACAACAACAACATCAACAGCAACAACAACAACCACATCAACAGCAACAACAACAACCACAACGACAACGACAATGACAACGACAACAACAACAACAACGACAACGACAACGACAACGACAACGACAACGACAACGACAACGACAACGACAACGACAACCACAACCACAACCACAACGACAACGACAACGACAACCACAACCACAACAACAACAACAACAACAACAACAACAACAACAACAACAACAACAAAACAAGAACAAAACCAACACAAAAACACACACGCAAAAACGCAACAGCAAAGACACACAAACACAGAACCGCAGCAACAAACAACAACCACAGAGACACACAAAGCAACAGCCAAACCACGCACACAAAATAGAAACGAAAACAACAACAACAACAAACAACAGCAGAAAAGACTCACACGACAACAAAGCACACACACAAAACCAAAGCCCGACGCCGCGACATCTCAGTCACGCTCATGCAGTGTCACGCAGAATGAAAGCGTGGCACCTTCGAACTCAGCTGCTTTTCACGGCATGCGTTGCTGTTCAGCCACATGCCCCAGCACAGGGCATCCTAACGTTTCCTGCGAACTGTAAACCGCCTCACCTGTAACACACTGGCTCGCGCCACATGTTCCACGTGTTTGAGTGCTAGGAATTGGAAAACCTTATCACCCCGCCTTTGCCATGGCGCTGCAGAAGTAAGTCTCTGGTTCATCAGAAACCGATTGAACAATATGCCTTCTTGTCAAGCCTGTGGGAACGTTTATCTCAGGACTCTCCTCCAGACTGCAAATCCACACGCCAGTACTGCAGAATAATCTCATCTCCGGCACGGCTGGTTCTAGGAGACAAAGGCTCTGAAGTGTAAGGGTTCACGCCCTCTACCAGCATCTGATCTTCCCAATAATCTCCAAATGCAATCGGTTCCTCTTCAACTCCTCCAGACAAAGTACTCGCCTTGCTGCCCTCTGCTGTGTAGCCGTCATCTCAGGTATAAGCTCATGCGCATCACTCACTGTCTCTGCCATTGCCCTAAGTCCCCTTGCCACTCTCAAAATTTCGCGTATCCTCGTATCTCATTCATGCATGCATCTCTCACCCTTTTCTCATGACGCTTCAACCGCTTCATACATGCCAAGAAACTCAATCCTGCACAAACCGCAACTGCGCAACACGTCGCGTATATTCTGCAAACGCGCAGAAACCACGGCGCTGCTTGCGACTTCCACATCTAGCTCCAACACCTGCCTCTCCTTCATGTTGGAGCCCACCATGCTCCATGCTCGCGTCGCAGCCTTCTCACACTTGCCTCGCTCTGCGTCCGGCCGAAGGCCTGTGATGTTATCGAACTTTGATCTACGGATTATATTGCTATGTGGCTGAAAAAACACTGATGCAAGTGCTTACGGATGAGGTCATCCACAGTCACGGGCTAGCAAGTACTACCTTCGCCCGTGTTTCTTGATGGCTTGAGCACCAGCGCTGAACTGGCTGGCAGCCTGGCGGCCTCACAGGCATGCTGGGCTGGCTGGCATGCCAGTGGCTGGCAGCCTTCTCACGCGCATGCTGGGCCGCACAGCCTGCCCCTGGCTGCAGCCTTCGGCGGCGTCTTGGGCTAAGGCGTTCGCCCGCCTTGGCCTTCACCATCAAATCTTCAGCAATGCAAATGAGATACGCGTTTGAGCAACTTTCGCTGAAATGTGCAAATGATGTCTGGTCTTCAGCGGAGTCACCAAGTGCTGTGGCTGAGGTTGGTTCTGCAATTTGCGATGGCTTCCACACAGAGGCTGCAGGGAACTTCGTAGCACGACGCCGGCTTGTTCAGCTTGAATCAAGATTCCTTGCAGCAAGAACATGGCAGAGAAAGCAAGTCGTCGCGACATCGGACCGCCGAGCCTTTGTTCTGTTTGCTTTCCACGTGCTGCTCACGCTGCCGGGAAATTGAGCGCTGCTTGTTCCACTTCGCCTTCAATGGCCTGGACCTTTTCCTTTTTCAGCTGCATCCAGCACAGACCTTGGCGGAGATGGAGGAGCTCAGGGCGGTCAAACTCATGAATGAGTTCTCCTGCGACACTTTCAGACGCGAATCTCATTCCATTGAAGCCAGCTTGATGCGGGTACACATGCCACAGAAAACCAATCGAGCTTGGATACCCTCGTTGCACTGGAAACCGCTCAAGTTTGCCCATTCCTCTACCAATGCTGTCATGCCTCACAACCAGCTGAGGCGTCAAAATCTAAAGGGCTGGACTGCGAGCAGGGACAAGATCCAGCAAACTGCCCGCACGGCGCCGCTCCATAAACCTGAAAGACAGATCTTGAAAAAGGGCTCTGCCTGAGCCCGCAGGCCTGCATCACCCAGCACATCCTCAAATGTCCCCACGCATCTGAAAGCTGAACAACAACAACAAGGACGCAAAACAAACGAAGCACACCAAAAAAAAGAAGAGCGCCAAGGCGAACCATAAACCACCAAACCACCCAACGGCTAGGCTCCCTCGGCAAACGCTGGCCTCAGCAGCTCCTCAAGGCGCTGCACATCGTTCCGGAGGTTGTCCCGGTCCACCTCACCCAACCGAGCGGCCCCGATGAGTCAGGCACAGGCACCCACAGTCCAAAGAAAATTCCCAAAGGAGGAACTGTTGGAAGACCATCCATAGGGGTTTCGTTTCCCCCTGATGGGTTCCCATAATTCATGGGCACACAAAATCTTCCCCAGGTTGGGAAAATTCGGGCTCAAGCAATCCCTTGAAGATGTGTGCTGAAAGGCCCCACAGAGGCACCAACTCAAAAAACACCCCAAACGCCCATCTTGTCTCCAAATGATCCATGTGCAGGGTCGCTCCCTGGATCGCTAATTGATGGTTTTTGAGGAAAAAAAGAAGAACAACTCCCAGACCACAATGGGGTCTCTTTTGCACATCGGGGATTTGGACACGAGCTCCCAATAAATTGGATCGCATGCTTGTGGCCCTCCTTTGAACATCAATTTTGGTCCATCTCCCCGGAATTTGGGCGCTCCAAGAGACACTCAGTTGCCCCCTACCCACCTCTTTGGCAGTTGAAAAAACACCTATTCGAAGAACATGACTTACATGAGCTCAGCCCATAATAATGGTCTCTATGCAACAATAACGTCCAAAAGAAACCAGTCACGCTACCCTGCGAAAGCCAACAGGGTGGTTTGGCTGTCCGCTTGTTCTCGCTTTGTGTTGCACAAAGCAATCTAGGTTGGATCTTCCCAAAAAATGATTCTCAGAATGCCCCAAATGTCGGAGATTATGTTTGCTATTTCTCTGCGAGGAATGAGTTACCCAACCATACCCACCCCAGTTGATCGCCTGAGAACCAAAATTTGAGCAACAGCTTCTGACCCCGATCCCCCTCAACACCTGCAGCTTCTCGTTGGAGATCTGGGACATCTCCAGCTGGTCGCTGACGTTCGTGTAGGTCTCCTCCGAGTGTTTCCAAGCTTGATATTTCCTTCAGAAGGAACACGAGTTGAACATGCCTCCAATTGGTATGGTACGTTGCACCCGTTGGAACTTTCTTGCTGTGTTCTGGGCCTCCCTTGGCTCCAGACTTCCAAAAGCAATGGGCGCAGCCACTTGTGTCTCCTCTTTTCTTTTGTCCTCTTTTTTTTTATTTTTCTTCGCAAAAGGATGGCGCTCAGTTCAGAATCAACTTGAAAGGAACGGTGCGACCGCCAGGCCAATGCCCGAGCGCTCACACTGGACACTCGCCCCAGCCGGTTCGCTGGCGCGGAGTTTTTTCGCGCCGATCCGGAGACTTATCCGCCGTAGGCCAAGGGCTTTGCGCCGGTCTTGGGGTTCAGGAAGTTGAAGCACACGAACATCGGTGCTCCTTCAGCCGGCGGCATTGCACACTGGTCCCAAAGGCACAAGCGCGTACTCACTGCGGAGCAGAGCTTGCCCCCCTCCATGGGCGTCGCCAACTTCGTGCCTCCCTTGATGCACAACTCTTTGAACTGGACGGCGAACAAAGGACGGCCATTCGCCGAAGGTGCGGTCACACCGCAGCCCAGGCAGAAGATGTAGTAGATCCAGAAGGTGTCACCAAAGCCTGTGGACCAATCGAAGAGCTGCTGCCCGCTCCAGCCGTCGTCCCCTGCCAGCTTTTTGTTGAAGCACACGCAGATGGGGGAACCTTTTGCCGGGGGGAGCGCGCACTGGTCGGTGATGCATAGGCACACGCGCATGGAGGAGCAGAAGGGGTCCCCCACATCCGTCATCTCACACTTGGAGTGCAGGCAAATGTTCACTGCCTCGCCACCAAAGAAGGGGTTCCCCACCGCACCGATGCCCACGCCCTCGCAGAAGCAATAGTTCAGCCACCAGAGCTCCGAGAACATCTTGTCCCGGTCCAGGTTGGAGGAGATGTCCGACTTGGCAATGTCCGGCATGGTACGTGTGGGCAAGCGAGCAATTGGGTACGGATCGAAGTGTCAGAGCCGGAGCTGGCGAAAGTCGCTTCCCGGGCCAATCCGACCCCAGAAACATGGGCTTGGGTCAAAATTATCAAGCCCTATTTTGGGATGGCCAAACGTTGAATACGACCATTGTGGAACCATTGGTACCCCTGTTTTTTCACCCATACCCACATGGCAATAACTTCGAAGGTGGCAAGAACGCCTCGGCATCCGCCAAGGACCTTTCAACGAGCCGCGCTCCTGCAGGGCCTCGATCCTTTCTCGGAGCTCCTCGCCCTGACCTTGCGAGCACAGGGTTCGGAAACCCCTGGGTACGGATGGACCAAATCCGCTCACTTGAGCGCCCAAAACCCATTTATATATATATATATATTTTTTAAGATATACAAATCAGATTAGAGACAGGTTTATACAGTAAAGGGTTGCTGCCATCCCTGCTTTTGAGGCTTTGGGCGCTAAACCTTACGAAGATCAGGGGTCGCGCCCACCAGCTGGTGGATGGTATCCGACAGTCTGGGCTTTGTACCCTTGCACCTATGGCATTCCAGGGAGCCCAGGTGTCTGCATTCCGCTCGCGCCCGTGGGCTGCCCGTGCCGAGCCCCTGGCGGGCTTCCGCCTTCAACTGGGCCTCACAGGAAGCAAGCAGCCCCGCGGCATTAAGGAGAACGCGGGGAAGGAAGGCTCCACGGGAAACCCGGATTGGAGGCGGCAAAACTTGCCCAGGTCGCGCAATGAGGAATCAAAGGGACTTGGCTTAGGGCAACCCTTTTTCAGGTTGGTGAGGGAAATTTCTAGTCCCGGAAGAATGGAAACAACACCAAAGAGCTTCAAATCCCCCCGTTTCTTGATCCCCCGCCGACGCCTCCATTTTCTGTTGGATCTCTTCGGTTTGCTTCTCCATCTCGGCCACAATCTTCTCTTGCCTGCGGAATCTCAACATCGAGGCGGACTGAGAGTCTCAAAATCAGTTGGGCCCCTCCAATTTGTTTGGCTCTCTCTGGTTGGACCCCCCCCCCCTTTGTATCATTCGACGTTTTTCCTCTTCAGACCAGAGGCTCCGCTTGGGACCGCCAGGTGTGGGGCTGGTTCCTTTCGGAAGGCGTGAAGCCTGGAGAGGGGCGAAAAAAACCGGGCGCCTCTTCTTCTGGGCCTCCAAAGCCTTCTCCAGCTCCGCCTCGAGGGCAAGGCCAGGCACGGCCACGCCCGGCTTTCCGGCCGCTCAATGGGATTTCTAAAACAGTTGGCAACTCTGAATCCCGACAAATGCTCGCAGGAGGCCCAGAAAGGTTCCTTTGACAGCGCTTGCGCAATGTACTTTTCAGGTCAAGTCGGAGCCAGTGCCACAGGCAGCCTTCTATCAATTTGCATTGCTCAGACCCCAGCCATCTTGCCAACCCCCGCTGGCTGGAGGCTGACAGCTGGGCCAACCTCCCTGTCTCAAAAAGGCAATGTTGGTATTCCTGACCTTTCAAGATGGAAATTGTTGAACCCCTTGATGTGCCTTTAAGCGCTTCGCTTCGTGTGACTCTCGTTCTCGAGTCGCATCCGCGCCTCTCGGCTGCCGAAGAACTCGCGGATGCCGCGCAGGGCCGACTCCCCGCCATCCTGGCCTGAGAGACATCGGAACCAAACACCTCACCCAGCTCCGATGTGAAAACCGGACTCCTGTTTTTCTTCCTTTTTCGGAGCAGCCTGGTTTCACACGTTTCAAACAAAGAACAACAAGGCCCAAAGGGAGGCAGCCCCGACTCATGGGCGCAAGGCTGGCGATGTTGGCCACGTGCCTGCACGAAAGCCACGCTCAAAATACCCAACTCTTCGGCCTGCTGCCACATTGAGCCTCAACAACGAATATTCATATAAACCCTGAAGCCTCGCGTCACGGGACGTTTGGGGTGGTTTGGGAGGCAAAACAATGGTTCCTGCCTTGAAAAGGAACTACACTGCAACAGAGAAGGCTATGTCGTGTTCTCCAAACACAGATGACTTCGAAGTGCAACCCGCCCTTCAATCTGCTGTTGAATACGACTGTTCAATTGCGCAGCCGCAAATGGTGCATTAAACGGGCGAAGCCCGTGGGCCATGCGCGATGAGAGCGCCTCGGGCGTAACAAGCCAAGTACTCTCCGGCCATCCAGTGCGCGGGAAATTTCGTTGGATGGGTTTCAACCGTACCATGGAAACAAAGCACACACCCATACCCCATCTGCCATGCCCCGCCTGCTGAGCTTCTGCCCAGACTCATCCTCCTGAGAAAACATACGTGAAAAAAGGAAAAACCATGCTTTCTACATTGTCCAAGGACTGAAACGTGATCGCCCTTTGCCACAACAAGAAGGTAAATAATCATGGGTTTGATCCAAAAGGGAGCGGTGGTGTTCAAGTCATGCAGCCTGTGACCCCATCTTAAGATATTGGAGCGATCGGATCGGACAGGCTTTGAAGGGGTTGCCCATCGGGCTTCGAATCCCAAAAGCCATTGGGGTGCATGCTACTTGCAGGGCTCCACTTTCCCAGGTCCAAACCACTGTGACAGCATTCTTGGGCCGCAGCCGTTTCCGCCTTGGCGGGCGCGGGCGTGACCTTTTCCTTCTCAGCCTTGGCCTGACGGTCGGTCTCTGAGAATCCAAGAACAAAACACAAAATTACCGAAATCTCCCTTGTATATTCTTTGCAGGCGATTGGGCCGATTTTGCGGACACCCCCAATATAGACTTATTTGGCCTGATCCCAACGCACAGCCTTCGGCCTTTGCCACGAATATGTGCATTGTCTTCCCCCAGTTGGGTACATCAAAACCAAACACCAGAAAGACACACACCCACACACTCAACAAATCAGTATTCACTGGGCCCTGGTTCCAGTCTCAGACTATCCACCTCTGGCTTGTCCTTCTTCTTGTCCGGCTTCTTCTCTTCCTTCTTCTCAGCCTTGGCCTAAACAAAAGAACATGCTACTAGCGCAACTCAAGTTATGCACTTTTATGCAACACAAGGTCCTTGCGCGCAAGCAGAACAAATTGTTTCAAATGTGCCTCGTCAGCAGGCTTCTCCTCCTTCTTCTCCTCCTTCTTCTCCTCCTTCTTCTCCTCCTTCTTCTCCTCCTTCTTCTCCTCCTTCTTCTCCTCCTTCTTCTCGGCCTTGGCCTCACAAGAAGAAGCAAATAGCATAGTAGCAACAGTACACTCGTATGTGATGCAAGGCCACTTAGCTCCAATCAAATAGCTACACTCCTGTCAGCACAGGTGATCAGCTTCTCATCTCTGATGTGCCTCTGGCTTGTCCTCCTTCTTGTCCGGCTTCTTCTCTTCCTTCTTCTCAGCCTTAGCCTCAACAAAAGAAACATGCAACCGGGGCAACGCACATTATGCACATCAGGCGCATCAGCATGCACATCTTTATGCACATCATCATGCAACAACAGCACAAATCCACAAGCAAACGTGCCTCTTCAGCCGGTTTTTCCTCCTTCTTTTCCTCTTTCTTCTCTTCCTTCTTCTCGGCCTTGGCCTCACAGGAAGAACCAGGTAGGGTGCACAAGGGTCACTCAGCTCTCATCACACTCATTCTCTTGCCACCCCCCGGATTTGCTGTGCTGGACGGTCTATATAGCGAAAATTAAGTTGGTCTGCTTCTCATCTCCTATCTGCCTCTGGCTTGTCCTCCTTCTTCTCTTCCTTCTTCTCGGCCTTGGCCTGAACAAAGCAATATTCAACGCACGGTATGCACATCATGCAACACAAGGTCCTTTCACGTCTGCAGCGCAGCTCGCAATTGAATCGTGCCTCTTCAGCAGGCTTCTCCTCCTTCTTTTCCTCCTTCTTGTCTTCAGTCTTCTCGGCCTTGGCCTCACAGGAAGAAGCAAATAGCATAGTAGCAACAGTACACTCGTATGTGATGCAAGGCCACTTAGCTCCAATCAAATAGCTACGCTCATGTCAGCACAGGTGATCAGCTTCTCATCTCTAATGTGCCTCTGGCTTGTCCTCCTTCTTGTCCGGCTTCTTCTCTTCCTTCTTCTCAGCCTTGGCCTCAACAAAAGAAACATGCAACTGGGGCAACGCACATTATCCACATCATGCAACACAAGGTCCTTGACGTCAGCAGCACAGATCGCATTTCAAACGTGCCTCGTCAGCAGGCTTCTCCTCCTTCTTCTCCTCCTTCTTTTCTTCCTTCTTCTCGCCCTTGGCCTCATAGGAAGAATCACCAACCCTTGGTGCTGCAGACGTTGACACAAGAGCTTATGAAGCTCTTGCCACAGCATGATGGAAAGCGATTTTGTCACTGGAGTTGTGTTGGGGGGGAGGGTGTGTGTGCCGAGCATAAACCACGCTAGGTTGCACCCAATTTCGTAGTTGTTTGATGTTTGCTTGTTTTGCTTCTAGCAGCTTTCTTGCCACGAGCACCTGTTGCAAACGATGCTAGCAATGCTGGTATTTTGGTGATGCTGTCTGGGATGCGGGCTGGTGATGCTGGAGATGCTGTCTGAATTTTCGACCTGTATCTCTTGCATTGGTGCATTCTGCACGTTTGTGCGCGTGTTGCATGCATTATGTTATGCATGTTGTATGCATTTTGGGATTTGGGAAATGCGCACTGAATGCGCACTGAGTGCATACAAAAGACATTCAAAATGCAATCTGCATTTGTGTGTGTGTGTGCGCGTTGTGTACGCATTCTTGCGTCTGGCGCAGCATGCATTTTCATGATGCATTTGTGCATGCTGATTTTTGTTTGCATTATGCGAGACAAATGCATTTCATGCATGCATTGTTGTGTGCACTATATGTACATGTCTGGCTCTGGCATGGCTGCCTTCAAACTGCATTTTCTATGCATTTGGCGAGACAGGTGCCTTCATGCAAGGTGCATGCATACAAAAGGCATGTTGCATTTTTGTGCATTTTGTGTGCATGTTTGGCTCTGGAGCAGCATTCATTTTTGTATGATCTTTCTACTAGCAGTGGATGGTACATACAGTCTGTATTTCGTTGCATTGCATGTTGTCTGATAGAATACATATTTTTGCGCACAATACTGCACAACAACGCTGGACAGGTTCATTCTATGCATGGTGCATGACTTGTGTACGCTTGTTACATGCACGTGACATTCATTTTCTTTGCAAAGGCATGTGCAGCATGTCTTCTTTGTGCGCATGTTGTATGCATTCTTGGTTTTGGCATGACTACCTTGGAAACTGCCCAAAAGAGTAACTTGAGCAACTGCATAGTTGTGCATAACACTGCAGAAACATGCGAGACAGGATGCATTGTATGCATCGTGCATGTATTGTATATGCATTGCGTGTTGTTTCCGACATGTTGTTTGCATGTTGTTTGCGTGTTGCTTGGCCTGGATACCTTCACAATGCATACGAAATGCGTACAACATGCATCCAAAATGCATACCACAAAAGCATACAGCATGCACAAAATGCACATGTCTCGCATCAGTGCTATGCCACAGGCCACATCCAAAGATGCATACAACTGCGTAAACATATGCACATAATGCATAGACCACGCACTTGCCTCGCATTTTTGTGCAGGCATATGCAAAAATGTATGCACTTGCTTGCCTTCACTATTACTTGCTTTCCCTTGCTTCGCCTGGTTTTTCCTTGCTTTCCCTTGCTTTCCTTTGCTTTCCCTTGCTTTCCTTTGCTTTCCCTTGCTTTCCCTTGCCTTCCCTTGCTATCCCTTGCTTTCTCTTGCGCTCCCTTGCTTTTTCTTCGCTTCGCATCGATGCTGCAGTCGCTTTCTGCGTTGTTGCCTTGCTGGTTTGCAGAGCTGACGGCTCCAGCAGATCTGGTCACCACATTTGTTCTGCTTTTCATCTCTGATCTGCCTCCGGCTTGTCCTCCTTCTTCTCTTCCTTCTTCTCAGCCTTGGCCTCAACAGAAGAAGCATGCTATTGCGGCAACACATTATGCACATTGTGGGTCCTTACGTCAGCAGCACAGCGCGCATTTCAAACGTGCCTCGTCAGCAGGCTTCTCCTCCTTCTTTTCCTCCTTCTTATCTTCCTTCTTCTCGGCCTTGGCCTCACAGCAAGAAGTAGATAGAGGCCACTCGGCTCCAATCAAATAGCTACACTCATGTCAGCACAGGTGATCAGCTTCTCATCTCTGATGTGCCTCTGGCTTGTCCTCCTTCTTGTCCGGCTTCTTCTCTTCCTTCTTCTCAGCCTTGGCCTCAACAAAAGAAACATGCAACTGGGGCAACGCACATTATCCACATCATGCAACACAAGGTCCTTGACGTCAGCAGCACAGATCGCATTTCAAACGTGCCTCGTCAGCAGGCTTCTCCTCCTTCTTCTCCTCCTTCTTTTCTTCCTTCTTCTCGGCCTTGGCCTCACAGGAAGCCAATCAAATAGCTACACTCATGTCAGCACAGGTGATCAGCTTCTCATCTCTGATGTGCCTCTGGCTTGTCCTCCTTCTTTTCCGGCTTCTTCTCTTCCTTCTTCTCAGCCTTGGCCTCATCAAACAGGCATGTTGCTGGGGCAACGCACGTCATGCACATCATGCAACACAAGGTCCTTGCACGTCAGCAGTACAGGTCAAAATAGCTTGCGCTGCCACGTTTCAAGGTTTCAAGCATGCCTCTTCAGCGGGCTTATCCTTCTTCTCCTCCTTCTTGTCTTCCTTGTCTTCCTTCTTCTCCACCTTGGCCTCAGAGGAGGGACTTCCAGTGCTGGCAAAGCCCTATGTCATCAGCATGTGCTGTGGGGGGAGCGCATCTTGCAGGCCATGGCCGTCATTCGTTTGGTGGGTCAAAAGCCAACGTGCTTTGCCAGTCATCTTAAGAATGGAAGGCCTAGGCCAGTTTCATGCGGGTGACTGAAGTTCTGTTCTCTATGTCTCGGGACGCAAAAGGGGTATACAGCTGGGTTCGACTTGTTCCAAAAGAACTTTGGGGGGGGTCAAAATGGCGCGTATCCCAGGGCCAGGGGCAGGAAACTAAAACCTGACCGCGGAAACAAAGGGTGCAAACGCATGGGAACGTCCCTTGACCTTTTGCTTTGTCTCGGTAAACATTCGTCAAGATGTGGGAAGGCTGCTCCGCATTTCCGTGCGGCGCGAAACAACTCGGCTCGCAGGTGAGGACCCTGCACTCTTCTTGCCCTGGCTTCCGAAAACTGGACTTCCAGGCTGCAAGGAAACAAATTGGGATGGCCGCTTGTCCCTGGAACTTCCCCACCTTGGGTTTGGGTAAGCAGTGGGAGGCTGGGACCTATCAGAATCAATACTCGGACATCTTGACAAATCTTGCCGTCCCAAAGTATCGTAGAAATGGTTGGGAGGTGATTTCGCAGAGGGTACTTTGAGGTCCCTCCCCGCTTCGGGCCTCGTTCTTGTGGATCCCGACCTGTCGTGCGGCACCGAAACCTTTCGCTCTTACTTCCAATCGCTGGAGCCAGGGTGTTTTTCCCCCCAACAGCTGAAAGCTTTGGGGGTCTCAGCCCAAATAGGCTCCGCGGTGGTCCTTGAGGTAAGGTTTTACGAGGTTCCACCAGGGTTGCACCAGGGTTCCACCAGGGTTCCACGAGGGTTCCACCGAGGGTTCCGCAAGGTTCTGCGAGGGCTGGCGGTTGGTGCGAGCACAAAAAAGAGCACCGCATGCTGTTGGGGATATCACCTGAGCTTTTTTGTTTTTGCGGAGAGCATCAAGGACACGGGGGGAAGTCGCGTGTGTTTGTTTTGTTTCTGGCAAGCTTTGAGAGCCCCGCATGTCACTCTCGGATCACTGCTTGAGTTTGACAGGAGAGCCCCTGTAAACATTATCAAAACACCTTAAAATTGATGTTGTCTAACTATGGAAAGAATACACGGCCATGTCGGTGTGTCTTCTTGCACTTCAAAGCGCCGCCTACTTCTTGGTACACCAGCTGTGACACACTGGAAAAGGCATCAGGCGTTGGGGCGTCTCACATCCTGGATTGGGAGGAAAAAAGTCCAAACGTTGCCACTCAAATGTTCTTGCCAAAAAGTGTCAGACAGGGACTGAGACCTGAGAGCCCAGCCCCCTCCATCTCTGCGGTGAGCTTGTTCCTGGGTTTGGGATCGGAACCTCAGCAAGGCGAGGAATGAACCGCTGGAAGTTTCGGGGGCAAACCATGCACAAAGATCGATCGGTTTTGCTTTGCTTGACCAAACAGAAAAGCTTGAACAAAAACGAAGATAGCACCCTCAAACGAACAACATGGTGATGTTGACTTTGGTTTCCTTGTAAGCCAACCTGCAAAAGGTAGCCTTGAAAAACACACACCGCTTGAAAAACACGACCTCGCTGGCTCTGCAGTTTCAGCACGCTTAAGGTCCTCGCGAGCAGCGATTCGCGGCCTGAACGGAAGACACTTGCAGCCCAGCCATGCCCATGAGCGCTCAAGAAGCTCAGACGGGTGTTTCTCAAAACCAACCAGTCCCCATTCAATTCCATCAGCCCTTTGTCAGCCGTACCTCTGGGGGCAAGGGACCTTTGTGGACTATGGCCGTTCTTCGAGGGAGCTATGTCTTGTCAATGCGAGGCCGCGCGCCTAGAAACCCGTCGCTTTCCCAGAATCAATGCCATGGCCACGCCAACGGCAACTGGGGCCTCAGGCCGCACTCGCTGTCGGTCAGCCCCCAGTGTCGTGTTCGGCCCCACTCAACAGTGCTCAAAGACACCATTTGGACAATGCCTCGTCCAAATGTCTGCATGGTGCCAAATATGCGGTCAAGCATGCTCAACGTTCCCTTGTCAGGATCCTAAACCTCCTCAGTTGAGACAACCAACCCACACACACACACACAAGTACACTGTTCTGTGCACAGGTGTGGTATTGATGGATATCCATACATACATACATGCGTATAACTTATCATATGTATTCCTCAAAAGTGGGCCTTGCGTCAAAAAGTGGTGCTTCAAAGCACGGAAAATTTCTCGCCCTGGCTCGTTCGGCCAAGCTGCCGCGGAGCTTCTGCTCCCTGCACTTCTGCCCGCCGGGGTTGCCGCCTGAGGGCTCCTTTCTTGTTTGGTACACCTACCTGAACAGCTTCGCTTTGATCAGGCTTGGTCAAATGGAGGTAGTGTGTATAGCCCACTTGTCCGAGCCGCCTCGGCCAAACAATACCTTGCAACAGCCCGAAGGTGGCGTCTTTTGGGTCTGTGACCACCCCCTGTTTCACCTTATGTAGTTGATCTTTGGGGTCAATACTCCCGATGTCTGGCGCCTGGCCCGTTGGCGGAGCGTACTTTGCATCCTCCTTTCGAACTAAAACGTTGTGATTGAGGGTACACTTCGAGCACTTCCTTTGAAACTAGAAGCTGGCCGCGAGTTCCAAGTTCGATGTTCGAGCTGCAGCTGCAAAGGCGTACTTCGCGCAATGCTTTCGTGCTCAAAAGAATTCCAGGCTCCAGCTGCGGGATTGCGCTTCGCTTTCTACTTTCGTGCTGCGAGCTTCCAGCCACTTCTGAAAAAGTGCACTTGGCGTACTACCCTCAAAACGCATACTTTGCTTACTCCTTCACACACACACACACACAAAAAAAAAAAAAAACAGTTGCGCTTTTCAAGTCGCAGCTGGAAGAGCGTGCTTCGCGTACTACTTTCATACCCATAAGTTGCGAGCAGGAGCCTCTTTGTGCCACAGCAAGAGCACTTGGACACGCTCGATCTCCACAAAGGGGTGCGTTTTGATAGCTCCCGTCGGGCCTACCCGCCGCGGAAATGGCCAAGAAATAAGATTCGAGAAGAGGAGGTGGAAACAAAAAGTTAGATTGTGCTTTCAGGAAGGGAAGTAAGAGCCGAAAAGTTACTCAGCAATTGTTTGCTTGTGCATTTAGGATACTGATGTGAGCTTGACACTCAAAAGATTAGCAAAAGAAGTTGGCAGGAGAAGCTTGCAGTCGTTTTTTTCTTTAAGAGAATCCTCCGCATTCGGGAAGAAAGAAATTGACCGCGACCTCCGGTGAGACTGACAAATGTCCGCTTTGTTGCGAACGGGAAACTGGTAAATAGAAAAAAGTGCAATCCAGTTTCACCGGATCCACGTTTGGAAAATTGCCGAGGTGTTCTTCATTCGCTTGCAGCACCAGAATACCCGAACGGGGTGGGCAGAAAAGCATCGGAACGCGGCCGAGGTGGAAGCAAGGGAGGCCCCTGGAAGAACTAGACGCAGTGGCAAGCAGCGACCAAAAAAGGGAATTGGAGGGGAACCTCTAACTTGGAGAGTGCCACTAAAAACAAAGCAAAGCTCTTTCTCAAGCATAACTGGGTCCGTGTCAAACCATTCCCTACAGAGCCCACTGGACACACGGCTACGTGACCCACTCCCCTAAGAAGCCGTCAAGGCTGTCTTTGGCCCGGCTCCGTTTAGCTGCGTGCTACAACCGTGCACCTCGCAACATTCCTCTAGTGTGTTCACGTTGCTTTCTTTGAGGCACCCCCTGTTTCCGGGAAACAAACCAAAGGGAAACCACCCATTCTGGGGTTCCTTGGTGCCTTTCTTTGACACACATCCTTTTGGTGGGTTTCAAAAGGAAAGCCAATTCTGGCTTGCCCTATTTTAAGCCAAACCCTGGAACTCTGGCCTCGGGGCATTGGGAGCCCTGAACGAGGAAAAACAACTGCCTCGTAGGTGGCGCCCCGCGCGGAGGAAAACTGTCCACCTGCGGAGATGTCCAAAATGGGCGACTTTTGAGTTGGTTGGTCGGGGAAACCTGAAGAAAGTGCCAGCGGTTTGCTTTTGTTTTGCCTTTGCCCGTTTCGAGAAAGATCCATTCTGGCCTTTGAAAGCCAAGCAGACATGCAAAAAAGCGAGCCTAAGCAAAGCTTCTTGAGGTTGCTAGAATTTGGGCAGCGTCGGCAAGCAACGCAAATTCAAAGGCTCTGCGGAAAAAAACAAGAAAAAAAAACCTGACCAGCGCCGGCTAGCAAAGCAAATTCAAAAATTCAAAGGCTCGTGGAAGGGGTGCCCAAGAGTGAATGTTGACAAGCCTCACCCTCTTTCTCGCCTACCACAGGGTTTCTGGATGTCCAAATGCACATCCAGGGGCCCGCGCTTGGCGCCACAAAGGCGCTGCCTGCACCTGAGATTCGGGGTACACATTGAGCCCAGCCAAGGTGAAGAAAAAAACTGTTCTGGTTGTTTGAAAGGCGACCGGCCAAAAACCAGGCGCCACTGGAATTGGAGACCCACCTTTGGATAATCTCTGAAATATGCGGCACTTATGCGGCACTTAATCCCAGTGACGTGTTTGCAGGTGGATGACAACCTTTGATGAGCTTTGTGGCGCTTGTGGGGGAAAAAAACTCATTCCTAGCGAAACGCAGGTTTCATGGAAAAGCGTAACCGACTCACGGCGACCAAGCGCGGCGCAGGCCAAAGCCATGGCAACCGCGCTGTGTTTCCTCCGAGGCATAGCCAACAAATGAATCCATGTGGGTGCAACTCCTGCAATAACTATCTCCATGGGTGGGGGTAACCCACTCAACCAGAGTTCGCAGGCACATGCCAGCTTCCAAGTTGAACTTGGTCCCCTCAGCAGATCACATTCGAGGGCTGTCGTGCCCTAGTTCTGCAAGGAAACCATACCCCGCCTTATATTGCCAACTATATACAACCTATGTGAGCCGTGGACTTGCACCCAGTCCTTACACGTCTCAAATTGACAAAGGCACCTTTGGCACGATCATTTTTTTTTGGGGGGGACATGCAAATGTCACTTCCCACTTCCCGGTCCTCGCAGCCATGGGGCCTAAATTGCGTCGCTCTGGGCGCGAAATGCTGCGGTCGGTCCGGTCGCATACTTCAGGCTCTTGGACTTAACAAGTTCACGGCCCTTGGGCACAGAAGCCTGCAAATGATTAAGCCCGAAAACGCAAAAACACGAGAACGAGACGAGTGCCTGCGAAAACTAAGACTTACATTCCAAAAATTGTGCACTTCTGTGGTGCTTGCAGCTGCTGTTTTGTTGCCACATGTTGCGGTTGTCCTACAATAACGTGCCTTTGGGTGGCACAGTAAGCTCCTTGCCGCTTTGCAACTCTACATGATTAGTGCTTGATGAGCCGGTCATAAGTGAGTTAGCTAAATATCTAATTAGTAGCTAAAATTGGCTTGGTAGCCAAGCGTTCACACTGCCAGCTAACGACTATTCACATGGCTAGTATTGGATTGCCAGCAGTCAGTTTTCGTTCCTCTCGCTGTTCTGCCCAGTTGGACTGCCTCCAAGGTTGCAAGTCTTGGTCCAAAGCATTCGACACCATTTGCAAAAAATCCCTAGCGGAAGTACATGTGCCCCGCTAAATGCGATTGTTCAAGCGGTGAAGCAGCATATAAAAAGTTGGCATGAGAAGTTGGCAGGTAAAGTAATTTTTTGCAAAGCTGGCAAGCGACGATGGCAGGTGAAGTAACTCTTAAAAGTTGGCAATGAGAAGTCGGCAGGTGAAGTGAGTTTCGAAAAGTTGGCATGAGAAGCTGGCAGGCTAAAGCAATTCTTAAAGAGTTTGCAGTAGACGAAGAGGAAGCTGCAGGGTTCCCAAGTCGCCTGCTCGTAGATCCTGCGCAGTTTGTCCTTTGGCAGCAGGGCGCTCAGCTCTTTGTTAAGGCATGTTGCACTGCTCCTAGCTTGAACCCAAACATGAACCCCCAAAAGAACAAAGCAAGTCCGAAGCGGCCGCAGTTCTTTTTACCGGGATTGCTGAAAGTAGCACTGCTTCCAGGGCACTGGTGCGCCTGGAACAGGAGGTGCGTTGACCCCCCGTGAAACTAAAACGGGCAAGACAATGCGTGTCCTTGCAAGTTAGAATCTTGATCACTGCTTCAAGCCTACAGGGACATGCAGGGAAAAAAACATCCGACCGAAGCAAACTCGACACGCGCTTTTTTACTTGAGCGTTGCTTAGAAGTGCAGGCTCTGAGATGCAGGTGGAGTGACGATGCGCGTCCACTCCATCTTCCTGCATCTCATGCGGAGCCTGTCGGAATGCCCCCTGTGGTCAACATTGCGTGTTCGACCATCACACGTTTTACCCATGGGGTGTGAGACAAATAGGAGGTATTTTGCACATCGGTATGCAATGCGTGCATAGGTGTGCATGGGAGGAATGCGTCCTCCTGAAGGGGACCAGGCTGGTCCGACAGAATGCCGATGGCATTCAGCGATGTGCGACTGCGTGCACAGCATGGGTTCAAACTGGTGTGGCCAACGAGGAATGCGTCCTCACTGCATAGGCTTAAACTGGTCCTGCGGGATCAGTAAGCCGACAACATGCTTGATGCTGGAAAGCTTGCCGACAACGCGTGTTCAGCAATCAGCTATCAGGCCTCTTTGCACAGGCTAAACGGGTCCTGCGGGATGCAGTAAGCCGACAAAATGTTGGAAGCGGGAAAGCTTGCAACCATGCGTGTTCAGCAACCCAGCAATCAGGCCTTGTGGAAGTTGGTTTCCACCTGGGCCGTGAAAGGGTGGGAGGGTGGGTTCAAAAAGAACGAAAGAGGGGTCAGACCCTCAAGGCATGTCCCTTACTAAAGGGCTTGAAGCAGAAACAGCCACGCGGCCGAAGATTCAACCAAGATTAAAACACAGGGGAAAAGAAAAACCCCTAGCGTTAGAATCTTGATCACTGCTTCAAGCCTACAGGGACATGCAGGGAAAAAAGCATCCGACCGAAGCAAACTCGACACGCGCTTTTTTACTTGAGCGTTGCTTAGAAGTGCAGGCTCTGAGATGCAGGTGGAGTGACGATGCGCGTCCACTCCATCTTCCTGCGTCTCATGCGGAGCCTGTCGGGATGCCCCCACTTTAGGGTTCTAAGCAAACGGTCAAATCACCTCACCCCCTCTTTAGTGCGTTTGCGACGCAATCACGTGCTCGGGTCTCCACGGTGCGTCCGCAGGGTGAAGCGTGAGAGCTGATGCGTGAGGCCAGAAATCATGCGGCCTGAAGCGGTATTACCTCTGCTGAGTTGGTCCGCCCAGATGTTGTGCTCTCCTGGCATGTGTGACGCGATCACGGACCACTTGTGTTTATGGGCCCAGGCGGCTACAAGTTGCACAAAGACTTGCAAGGGCCATGCTGTGGTGAACAGTTTATTAACGCCTCGGAGGCCGTGTTATCTGTCCCTGTGGGCATGCAAATGCCATGCACGCTTTGTCCCTCGCAGGACCATGCGATACGCATGAGTGCTAGTTGAGCCAAGGTTTCGAAGCATGCGATGTAGCGCTGGGCTTCTTTGGTGAGGCACGGCCACTGCTCTTGGACTTCCTGGAATTGCCAAGTTTCTGCGAACCAAGAAACGGAGCTGCTGGTGATGAACCAACCCCCTATGCCCACGACACTGCCTTCGGCGCAGGCATCTGCGGCTGCTTTGCATGCCAGCATTGGCTTGCTTCTCAGCGGGCATGCGAGGTCTAAGTGGAAGCATTGCAGCAACCATTCTACGCCATGTTTGCTCATCTTGGATAGGCGAGTGTGCTCTGCGGATGCGTCCGCGACGCGCACCCAGGCGGATTTGTGACTAGGCACAACGCGAGGCAGGTCAGCTGGCGTGCGAATGCATGCCCCTTGGAACTCGAGAACTTTAGAGCCTGGTGGCATGAAGATGCCGTGCACTGCTGACCTGAGCACGGCTTTGGTGTCCAATGCTGAAAGGAGGGATGGCCACAAGCGCGCATGGACAGAGATTATGCAACCCGGCGGTGAATGCAAGTCTGTACACAAAGGTGCCAGCCAGGACCTGAGTTCGGGGCTCAGACTGGTCGCCCAAATGAGTAGGCCTAGAACCTGCTCCAAAAGTTTTCGCTTGACCTTCCCCGCTTTGAGCAGCTCGTGCAGCTGCCCTTTTAATTTTAAGGTTTTTTCTGGCGTGAGTTCGATGGTCTCATGCAGGAAATTAATGCGCCACCCACACCACGTGAGGCCATTTTGAAATTGAACCTTCTTCCACGAGATCGGGGCAGAAAGGGCTGCAAAGAACATGACCATAAGGGCCAGCGGTGCGTGCGCGTCACTGCGATGCAGTGCTGCCAAAAGGTCATCCACAAACAACCATGCACGATGCGGGTGCAGTTCCAAAATGCCGTGCAGTAGCCTCAGGAGGAATGCTCCGGTGCGCTGCCACCAGTATGCGGAGAAGCGTGCTCCGAAGTGGCAAACCCTATAATGGTACAGGATATCGGCAACACGGAACAGAAGCAGGCCATGTTCACTGGGGTGCACTTGGATCTGCTTATGCGCTGCTTTAAAATCAAAGCTTGCCCCCACAAAGGACGAATGCGTGTCCTCGGGGAGGAATGCTAAGCGCACGTCCGAGGCCATTGGCAGGCTTATGCGTTCTGGAATGGCGCACTTGGGGTTCACCCCACACACTGTGCTGTCTAAGACTAGTCGTGGGTCCTTGCCTTCTGCATGCACGACGTTGAGCTTTCCCACTGCTATGCCTTTATGCCAATGTTGTCTGGCTTGTTCAATGGACATGCCGGTTCGAATGACCCATCCGTTTGCAATTTCCTTTTCCAGCAAGGCTGATACCGTCTCTGGTTCCGCTTCTGCGGCTTTCCAGTTGCCGATGCACTCGGTGAGCTCACTAGGCAGGTCTGCTTGAGGTTTAGGCGGCCACTGCATGCTACGTGGCAGTTCGGACACGGCTCCTGTTGGCACGCCTTCTGCCAGCAGCTGCACTAGTTTGAGGTCTGGGTCATTGGATGCCGTTGCTAGGGCATGCAAGAGTGACAGGCGGTACGGTTGTCCTTCATCGGGTGCTAAGTCGGATGGGCACGGCATGTTCATGGCGCGGAACGCGATCCGTGCTGCCTCCTCGGACTGTTGTTCCGAGAGAGGGGGGGATGCGTTACCGGAGCCCACATGGGCTAGAATTTTTGGGATGAGTTTTTGTGCGTCTAGCCAATGCAGCCAGGCACGTGCTACTATTGTGAGCGGGTGGTTTGGTTGAGGGATTGAGTGGTCTGCAGTCGAATGCATGCCAGCTCCATCGCATACCCGCAAGCGCACGGGGTGCAGTGAAAGCAGTGAGGGTTTGCGTAGGTTTCGGACCTCGGGTTGCGCGCTCACCTTGAATGCGCAATGTTTGATCAAGCACGCTGCGAGACTTGCCGGGTATTCGGCTGTCAGCGTGCTGAGGTACTGGCCTGAGCTGCTTTGAACGCCCGCTATGCTGGCGTGTTTATGTTGATGGTGCTGGATGCATGCATCATTGCTGGCGAAGCACCATGATTTTGAGAGCATCACGCCATGTTGGCACGCATCCACCCATGCGAGGTGTCCGTGAAAGTTTTAAACACTGGAAGTTTTCCGGCTCCAACCAAGCCATGCTGGACGGCGGCTGCTCGAAGATTGCCACGCCACTTTGGGAGGCGACTGCTTTGAAC